TTTAAATGTAAATGAATTTGTATCTTTCTCAAACATCAATATAAGTGTCTTTTCCCAGCTAGCTATATTTTAGCATTCATTGTTGGAAAGGAAGGCCATCTTTAAAAATATCACTTTCATTCTCAGTACAGCTGTAATCAATTTACCTTCCACCAAAGGGCTTTGACAGCATACATAGGATTATCTTCTTCATGTGGAGAGTAGTTATGTCAAGACAGAGTGTGGCTGGCCCAAAGTAATTCAAGACACAATCTTATGCAAGTTTAGGCAGAGAAACTGCCTACAACTCACAGCATGCCCCAGCCAGCAATGCCGCAAGTTGTAGGCCCTTTTTTGGTCTAAGCTTACCTAGATTTGTGGCTTCTGTGAGCTTTGTTGGTGTGCAAGGATTTGAACTTGGGCCTCCAACTCCCCGTATTGGCTTTATACCACATTGGCCATGTTTGCACCTGACAGGAAGCTATGTAGAATTCCGGAGAATCCTGGCTTATCATAATTGTTGACCACCAGTGCGCCGTGCATGTGCCCAGTAATTTCCTCTTAGCCCCTTCTATTAGTGGGAGAGATGAAAAGTAAAGTAACCAGAAGCTCATCTGGCAGCAGAAATGTAGTGTTATATCAGAACCAGGACCCCTGTTTTGTGGCTCCCCTGGCAAGACAGCTGCAGGAGGTCTGGGCTTATACTTGGTTCCCAAATCCTAGTTTGTTTGGGAACAAGTCAGGAGTCTTGGTTTGGCCGTCTGGCTAAGCTTTTGGCGCCTGGTGATTCCTTCAGGGGCTGCTGTGGGGAGCTGAGCTGGGGCATGTGGTGCAATGCTAGCTCCCCGTTTGGGAGGGCCCTGGAGCAAGGCACCCCCAGTGGCCCCTCCCTCAGTGAGCCTGCCTTCTCACTGGCAGGGCCACCTGCGGCAAAATGCCCCTCCTCTCTCTCCTTGTGGACACCGCTGGCCGTTTCCAAGCCGGATGGGGTGGGCCGTGGCCCGGCCTCCTCCGCAGCACTGCCACAATGGACCAGAGCGAGAGGAAACGGCGGAGCAGTCCTCGGGCTCTTGTCCGTGGGCCCTGCTGGGGCACGAGCCCGCCATGCCAGCCCCCAATCCAGGCCCTGGAGCACTCCATGGGATTCAGGCCTGTTGCTCTGTGCAGACACTCCCCGCTAACGTGGGCGTGCGGCCCTTTGGACTCCACGGTTGCTGCACCGTTACACCGAACACGGGTCTTGCTTGCACATACAGCGAAAAGGAAAGCTGCGACTCTGGCTCTGCAAAGCCAACATCTCTCCAAGCTAACAAGTTGCCTTTTGTCCTTCGTTCCAAGGCCGGCTGCCAAGCTTGGCTATCGCACTGACGTGGGCCTACTTCTCCCACAGAACAAGCTCAGAGGCCCCCCTGTGTTGGAGGGCAGGCTTAATTCCATGGGAACCAGCCGGCTGAGGTTTTCCAGAGCAGCTCCTGCAAGCAGCAGCTGTGCCTTGGAGCCGCCCCAGGTCCTCCACCGCACGGCAGCCTTCTCTCTCCTTGCCTGACAGATGGGTAACAGCTCTCCCTCCTCACAGCCACATTTCCTCCGCTGCTCTGTTTTCTCGGCGGCGTCCTCCTCCTTGACGGTCTCCCCAGCGCCTCCTGAACCGCATTTGGCAGATGAGCTCATTGTTTTCATTGGCCCATGTCCAGGCTGGGCATTTTCTGAAAAGAAAAGGCAGGCTGCCCGATCAGTCGGTCGTAAGAGGGTGTGCCTGATGCAGCCAACGGCTGAGCAGAGCGCGAGGCAAGCGAAGGGGCCCTTGGTGAGGGTGCGCTGCGGGGCACCGTGCGAGGTAGGGTAGACAAACCGGAGCTCGCAAAGCTTACTTTTGCTGTCCCAGGCGAAACGGGAACAAAACGGCCAGCTCTGGCGAGGCTCCTGGTGAAGTGCAAGAAGAGACTAGCAGGCCGCATCCCGCTTGTGCAGGCCTGGAATAGGATGGATGGAGAATGAATGGAAGTTTGCATGAGGTTGCTCTGCTAATAGGGAATGTTGGCACCTTAAAGGTTAACCCATTTATTCTGGCATAAGCATTCGAACAAACATGTGCCAGCATAAGCTTTCATGCACTGTAAGCTTACGCCAGAATGAACTTACTGTTTTTAAGGCGCAATAAGACTTTGCTGCTTCTGTTACCTTCGGCTGAAAAAAATTCCTCCTGGAAATTTATTAATTATATAACATGTCTGAGATGGCCAATTTGGGGCCCTTCAGATATTTTGGCCTACAACTCCCATCAGCCCAGCTGCCAGAGGCAATGGTGAGCCGTTGTGGGAGAACTGGGCCAGAGCACCTGCATGGCAAAAGCAAACAAGCAGACAAAGCACAACAAAAAACCCACAGGTGCCTCCGCGTGGGAGCTTGATGTACAGCTGTGCAGGCAGGTTTGCTGGCTGCATACTGGGATGCCCCAGTGATCCTAGTCCAGATTGCTCTTTCCAGGGAAGGAGAAATCTGCATGGAGATTTCTGGGAGAGGGAGCAGGAGGCCTTCCTTCCACCCCACCCCTCCGTGGTCCCAACACAGGTGGCTCTTTCAATGCTGCTGCTACCAGTGAGGAATGAGCAATCCAGGTTGGGATTGGAGCTGCAGTCAGGGCACCGTTTGAGCCTTGGGGGATGCCCTCGGGCTCCTGGGCTGCAGGTTGTGCACCTGGAACTCCAGCAATTAGAAGTCTTTGTGCAGCTTTTCTCTGCTCTTTCTCCTCAATGGATTTTCTGCAGTAAGATAAAAGATTGCAACAGCACACGAAGGCCCCATAGAAAGCCTTGTCTAGAAGAAAGCCTTGTTTGAACAACCCCCCTCCCCCCGTAAAAAGCCTTGTCTAGAAACCCCATAAAAACCTGGAGGGGCTCTTCAAGTATTCCTTTCTGCACCGTCAACACCACAAGTTTTTTCTCAAAGTTGCAAGTCCGTGTTGTTGGACATGGGGGTGGGCAAAGGTAAAGCTTCTATTTGGCTGAGGGTACAGACTTTCTCATCTGTCCTGGTTGAATGAAAGGATCTTTTTTTAAGAAAACAAAACAGCAATGTCCCCACGATACAAGAGAGTCCCGTCATTCTTCTATGCTGACTTGCCTATATACGTGGGATACCTCTCTGTGCCCTAAGAGAAAGACATAACTGATCAACCAACAGTGCACTTGAGAAATGTAAAAAATGACAATAATGTATCTACTTCCTGATTTTATGGGCCTTGGATTTCCCCTGGTCCATCCGAGGCTCGTGACATTCCTTGAATTCTAGCATGAAGGGTACAGTGTGTTTTTCAAACCCAGCGCTAATGTGCTGTGGGTTGCAGAGTTGGTTGCGGTGCGCCAGAGACGTGGGCCAGTCTCCCTGCATGGGTGCAGGAGTGCCCGTCTCCTCTCCCGTGCCATGTTCCTGCTGAAAACTGCTTATCCCGCAGGGATGTTTGCCCCGGGGAGGGGACCTGTTCTTCCCCCACACAGGGAAAGGGACGGCTGGGAGGTGCGTCATCTTAACTGGGGAAAATGGCATGGGAGGAAGCGCTGGATTCCCTCTCCCAGCATTGCTATTCCAAGCATATCCAGGACCCGCAAAGGGCTCTCTTGGTTTCATTGCACGGAATCAGATACAGATCACTCTGCCTCTTTCACAGGATTTCATTGCTGGGGGAGGCATCTGGACAATGCCACGGGATGCTTGCGGGTGGAGGGCTTGTGGCACTAACAAGTCAGAGCCCCCCTCCCCCGTTGTTCTGTCTTTTCTACTTTAAAAGATTCATTTTTGCTCAGGGATAAAAAGGAACAGAAGAAGTGATGGGTAAAGTAGGAGTGCTACTAATGGAAGGGGATGTCACCTGGACACCCCTCCCCATAAAACTTTGCAAATGAGCCAGTGTGATCGCACCATGGCAGCGTTTCCTGGGAGCCCCCACCCTCTCCTGGAACCCTCCCAAGCTTCCGGAAAGAAACTCATGGAGCACATGGCTTCCCACCACCTCTCCCTGTGCTGCACCAGCGCAGACCATCCCTGTGTGAGCCCATTAATGGAGCACACCCATTAAATGACGATTGGACAGGGAGCTGTCTATGTAAAGCGTTTATTCTGTGCGGTGCTGCTCCTGGCCTGCCCAGAGCTGCTTGCTGGCCTTATTTTTCCAGAGGCCAAAAAGTAGGGGTGGCAAAGGGAAGTGCGGTTTCCACTTGTGTATTTGCACGAGAAGCCATCTTGTAGCTCCTGCGCAAAAGAGCATGTGTTGTGCTATCCAAGCGCATTTCTTGCCTCTCCTTAAACCGGGTTGAAAGATCAGCCTTGCAGCCAAGGCTGACGTTGAGGTTGAGGTCCAGCCCAGCCCAGCCCCAAATGGTCAGGTAGTGATGGGCAGGGGGAACAGGCCTGACACGGAAAAAGAAACTGGGCAGCCACCTGGTGGGATGGTGTCATTTGGAACCCTGCAACAGCAGGGGGTCGGACCCATGGCCTTCCTGGCCCCTTCCCACTCTACTCTCCCATGATTCTGTGTTGTGCGTCCTTGCGGTGGATGCCACATCTTTTCTTCTGATGTTTAAAGGCATTTTATACCCAGGGCAGTTGGCCAGGGATGGACATATGGGGACCGCTGCTTTCTAAGACAGACATGATGCTTTTCTGGAGTGAATGGAAACATATTTCCAAGAAAACATGTTTAGCATCACAACAGCGGCAGCAAACCCCATTTTATTGCTGCGATTCGATGGGGTTATGATTTAAGTTTAATATGAAAAACTGCATGTACCCAGAGCATCATTTTTCTTTTTCTTTGGTAAAACCTGGCAAGCGTGGAGGCATTTGTGTTTTGCTCTAACCTAAAGGGGATGCAGAAGTGATGCTGAGAGCCTGCAGTGAGAGTGGAGAGGAAGGCAGCTGCCTCGCCAGGGCAGTAGCACCAATGGCCCCATTAAAGCGCCTCAGCACAGGACTTAACGCCACAGAGCTGCAGGCCTGACCTCTCTCTCCTGCTTCTCTTACAGAATTCTGGTGAACATGGACAACAACATAATTCAGCATTACAGCAACCACATGGCCTTCTTGCTCGAAGTGGTGGAAGCTGAGGAGAAATTCCAGGTGACCCTTAAGGAACTCTGAAGATTTGAAGGGGTCACCCTTTTGCTGGGAGATTCCTGGGGAAACTGAGGAGCCTCACCCCACCCCACCTCACGCTAAAATCATTGGCTCAGAGTGTTTGATCTGGACACAAGGAAAGGGCTAGAGAGAGAGAGCAAGCGAGAGAGGGAGTGGCACAACTCTCTTTTCTGAGGAGTGTGCAGAAGGTCCGTTTGCAATGTGAATGTGGAACTTCTGTCCGTTGAATTCTGTCATTATATTAATATTTTATACTATTATTATTATTATTATTATTATTATCCTCCTTTGTCAGGTGACACATTTTCACTGTTTCACACTCAGGAAAATTGACCCAGTGGCTGCTGGTTTTTGTAAATTGTCTTTGTCCTTTGGGGCATTACAGGCAAGCCCAAAGCGCTGGCCACACAGAACTGCCAAAAGGCTTCAAAAAGACTGTCACAGTTGCGCCGCACACTGATACACGCGTGTGCAGCATTTTACACCTTCACAGTGCCTTAGTACTTGCCCTTAAAACCCTGGATGTAAATATTCCATGCCCCCAACTCCTGTGAAGAACCTGGCAAGAGTGACTGTTTTATACATTTCTGCCTCCTTTTTATTTTATAAATATATACGTGTGTGTATGTGTGTGTGTGTATAAATATATCTTGTTTCATATTGAACATGATGTGGAGAATGGTAGAGCATTTCAAAACCAGGCTGCTTCACACTTCCCCAGGGTTGTCTGTCTTGTTTCTCTGTCCCCCTCCCCTTTTATCTGCTTTGTTCATTTTTGTAACTTTTGTTTTGTATATTATCTGGTAATAAAGATCAAAGATTGAAAGTGAGCCTGGTGCAGTGTACATATGTGTTGGGTTGTCTTCTCCAGGGGTAACCTGCTGGGACTTTTGGCCAGTTAGGAAGCCCAATCCCCGTTCCCTTCTTCTGCAGCTCTTCTTATTTATTTACCTTTCTATACCACCTGCAGCCAAAGCTCTCTGGGCAGTTCACAACATTAAGTCCCCCCATCCAGATCTCAAGCAGGCCTGACCCTGCTTAGCTTGCAAGATTAGGCAGGATCAGGCGCCTCAGAGGGGCAGTGATTCTCATTTCTGAGTGCTGTTCTTGGAAGCTAGAGACACAAAGGTCCCCCTTGGCGTGTATAAGTGCTCCCCAGCGAAGAAAGTGTGGGAGTGGTAAAACTGAGCAGCATGCCCCTGCCTCAGCCAGTCCTCATTGAGGCAGCAGCTCCCCCTTACAAGAAGGGGGAATTCTCATGCTCCCCATGTTCTCCGTACTTCACACGATTTGGCAGAACTATTATCCCCCGTCTGTGGTCCTAAGCCAGTATTTTTTGCCCCTTTGTTAGGCTTGCTAGCTGAAAAAGCAGGATTCAGGCATATTGGGCTTCTCTGCTTTTATACATAATATTGACACAAAAATGGCATCTCTCCTGGACATGATATGCCGAGCGCACAAAATGCAGCGATTCAGTGACAACCTCAAAGGACATACAGAATTCTAAATGGCCGAGGACTGTTATTTTCTTGTTCACGGGCAGGAAAGCAATCTTCTTTGGAACAGAATATTGCAGTAGCAGTCACCAAAAGAATAAAATAATAATAATTTAAAAAAAACTCCAAAGCAGTGCCGCAGGCTCCTCTGCTTTATAATGCTGGAATCCACTTATTGCTGGTGTTGTAGATGAAGGATTGCTTCCGTGGGATGGGCAGGTTGTATGCTCCTAGGATGGAAAACAGGCAGACACAAGAAGTCAGGGTGGGATGCAGAGCTTTTTTCAGCCTGAGGGCTGAATTCCATTCTGAGCGGCTCTCAGGGGCAAATTCCAGTGGTGGGCAGAGCTGAAGGCACAAGGGGTGGGGCCTAAATATAATAAGGCCGAGCTACTAGCAGGTGCAGCTTTAAGCTGAATTATGCTGGTACATTTAACCTAGCCTTCCCCAACCTTGTGCCTTTCTGACACATTTGGACCGCAGCACCCAGAATTCCCAGTCAGTGGCCCTGCTGGATGGGAATTCTGGGAGTTGTGGTCCAAATGCCTCTGGAAGCCACCAGGTTGGGGAAGACAGGTGTAGCCCACCCCTTGCGCCTTTGGTCTCACCCACCTCTTGGACCCTCCCCAGAAAGGAATTCAGATCCTGCTTAAAGGGGTCCTGCAACCCTGCTGAGAACTGTGGCTGGCCATGGCCCTGTGGCAGCCATGATGGGCAGGCTGCTGGAGCCAGGAGAGATCAGTGCAGGCCCGCCCTCAGGCAGTGCGTGAGGCGTGCTGGCTGGCCCTGCGACCCTAAACCGTGGCTGGATTCACAAGGGCAGGAGGCAACCTCCTTGCAGCGCAGCCTCTGTGCTGCCTTGGGAGAGAAAGGCGGTTCTCTGTGGGAAAAAAAAAAAATCGGGCTGCAAGTTCACCTAATGACAGGCGAGAGCCAGCAGACTGCATGGTTTTATCATAAGGAGACATTAACCCCTAGCAACTGTTAAAAATCCCATTTGCGTGGCATTCCAATTAGATTTCCAGGGTGAAAGGAAAGAATTGAATTCGACTGAATTCTGTTCCTTTTGAGCTCCGGGCCTCCTGAGCACTCATCCTAGCCCTTCTTTCCAGCGGACCCGTCAGCTGGCTTTGCTGCTGCGCCTTTTGCATAAAAGTTTGGGAGCTTTCTGGAGCCTCCAAACCGGCTCCAGCACATTGCAATGGCTGTTATAGCACTCTTGTGTTTCAAAGGGGCTGGAGGGATGAGCTGGCTGTTACAGCTTGAATCAGCAGCCTAAATTCTGCTGATTCAAGCTGATTTAGGCTGCTTAGAATTGCAGCAGGGTCCTAAATTCAGTGGGTGGCTGTGGACGAAACCCCCTCTCTCAGCCTCAGGGCCCCACTGAGAACACGGGTGTCTGAGCAGCAGCCATATCGTAGCCAATGAGGTTAATCCGAGGTGCGATTATCTCCACATTTTGTTTACTCTGCTTGCCAGTAATTAAAGTTTAGGGGAGACACGTCGATCTTCCAGTGCGAAGGGAGGGGGAACTGTGGTAATTCCAGGAAACCCCAACATGATTGGTGTGGGGGAAGCGGGTGGGGCCTTCTTTCAAACCCCAGTGGGCAGGATTTGCACCCTTGCCAATTTGCGGCATTTACGCTTTGCGGAACACGGGTAGCTGTGCCTCCTTGCGCGGGACTTGCGAATGCACGTCATGGCCCGGCCTCCTTGTACCCCGGAGAGCAGTTCGTGCACCCCTTGGGCGGCGGGGCCCCTTGCCTTTCCCCCTCCTCCTGCCCCGGTTTCTGCTCCCCTCGCGGGCAGTTCCGGTGGGTCCCTCCCACGCCTCCAGCTGCGAGGGCTGCGGCCGCCAGGCGCTGCTCCGGGCGCCCTGCCGCCGGTCCGTGGAGGCTCCGCGCAGGCGGGCGGCGGGCGTTGCGGCAGGGGACACACCCACTCCCACAGCTGGCCCGTCTCTCGTGAGGCGAGCGTGTTGTGCTGTGTGTCGCGCTGCGAACGGCCTGGTGAGCTTCAGCAGTCGCGCGGTATAGAAATGAAATGAACACGTGGTCGGGATTTGTATTGAAAAGCATGGGTCTGCGGGCGCAAGGGGGGGGGGCGTGTTGCCAGGGGCGCAAAGGGCGAGGCAGAGGCTCAGCTCTGCGCTCCTGCCTCCGTGGGCTGGGACTCCACGGGCCGGGGCCGGGGCCGGGGCCGGGGCAAGCGCTGCGGCCGGTGTGCGAAAGGCTGCTCCGGCTGCCTCTGCAAGGACGCGACGGGGCTCCGGAGGACGGAAAGGGGGCGTGCTGGGGGTGGGGGGCGTGCAGGCTGGGACGCCGCTTCTTTCCCTGCACCAGGTTCTTTTCCCCCACAAACCCAGCGCCTTATCCACGTGGCCAAACCTGGCCACCCCCTGGAATGCATGGTGCAAGCGCCACTTGCACCTCCAGAGTGCCTCCCATATTTTCTGACTTTTTGCCAGGTTTTTGACTGTTTGGGGTATTCCCCCCCCTTTTTTTTTTAGAACAAAGGAAGTCCGGTATGACCTTTTAAATCCAGTTTACATTAAACGGGAGCAAACACCTCCTGAGAGGGCCCACATCCACCGAACTGTCGCTCAGCCACAGCGCCACCTAGTGCTTGATTCATAGAACGTCTACAAAGGCAGACAAGTGCAAACCTGTGGGGGAAAAAACCCATATAAAGGACAGTGTTTTCCTCCCGTAATGTAAACCAAAGATGCTTCAGCAGCATATTACACCCCGCAGGTAGCGAAGGCCTGGTTGCCTGCAGTTGCAGAAGCAAGTGAGGGAACTCAGAATGCATAAATAAGAGTAGAATCACTCCGCTTTTCAACATATTCAGGCGTTCATCTTTCTCCAACTTATTTCCTAGAATTGCAACTGTTTTCCTTTCCTGGACTGCTTCTACATCAGAGCCCTCTTGCACTGCTGTAGGATTCTCCCTTCCCTCGTTGACTGGAAGGAGAACTAAAATGGAGATTCCATATTGCCTTTCCCCACTGCCAAGAGCTGCTGTGATGTTAGCGGAGGAGGAGAGCTGCAATCTTGATGTGCTTACCCTTCATGCACAGAAGCCTCCGAAGTTTTATGTCCCAAGTCAGGCTCAGTTATGCCCTGATCTCTATTTAGGCAGCCTTGTTTAGCATTCAAGATAAAGCTCTTCTAAGAAAGGGGAGGGAAGGAGCCTGGGATGCAGATAGGAATGGGTGTACGTCTTTGGTCCCGGCCCCCTTCCCTCTGTATGCCCCTTTTTATCCCCTCTGAAATTCATTTGTGATCTTGGACGAGGAAGCTGGCATGAGTCCTTCCTCACTCATTGTGAGGTGGACAAGGGACAGACTCAGAGTACCAGCTTTGAGATCACAGCGTCTCAGAGCTGCGACTGAATAATTCTATGATTTCTCAATGTCAGAAGGCTGTAGTATTACACTCTAAGTCTCTTTCTATAAAGGTCTCCTGCAGTGCTATTTAAAAGTCCCCTCCTTGCAGCTTTGCTTGTTTTATTGCCTCCTGTTCATGTGGCTTGGAGATTAGTAATTAATTCCAGTCAGCTTCCATTCCCACATGGGAAGGGCAACACTGACAGGTTTCTTAGCCTTATTCCCCCTTTTCTTCCCATTATATTGCCTTTTTTATAATACAACATTATAAAAGAAAAAAAATCAAGGAAACCAGTAATGCACCTCTCTTTTGCACAGCGAACAGAGCTTGAATTAAGAGACAGTTCATCATGAATCCTGTGGCTACTGAACAAGGAGAGGCAGAAATTGCAAGGAACCTTTCAATTAAAAGCACAGTAGCCCTTAAAAGCCTCAATAGCCTTTTGCCAAGTCACACTGGCCATGCCGCTGCTATAGACAGACAAACTGATAAGCAGAAGGGCTAACATGGAAACAACATAATGGTATAGGACTACTGTCCTTTGCATTTGGTCACCTATGGAAGAACCCATTAAAGAGTAATAGTGCAGAAAATGTGGGAATGCTTATTCTGCCAATTCCAAATGCTTCATAGAGATACCAATGAATCATGATTACTTACTGTAAATAATGAGCAAAATGACTATTGTCTGCATTGCAAGCCCTACATTAATCTGTCAGAGGGACTTAGGTTCGTATTTCTTGCACTGCTTACATCCTCCAATGAGCCTGAGTCACTGAGAGAAAGATCAGGTTACCACTAATGGACATGGCTGTCATGAACTGCAGTAAGATTTCGGCCACCTTCAATCATTCATAGGGCTGGGTCCAGATTTAATCATACCTACATTGAGACCCAGTGAAATGAATGCAAATTAGTCATGACTAACTCAAGTCCTACTGATTGCAATAGATCTGCTCTAAGTACGCCTAAATCTGGATGAAAACGTCAGTGCTCTGCTTTATAAAATGTTATGTTCGGACTTGAAGGAATATTATTAATGGGGTTAAAAACAGTGGACCATTCAACTCTTCCACTGCCAGTGGAAAGAAGAATTACGTTTAAATGACTCCACGTTGCACTGTGATATAGTGTTAGACGCCCATGTACAAAACTGCAGTGTCGCTGCGCAAATCAAAAGCCATGGATAGACAGACAGATTTGTAAAAGTAAGAGGGGAAAGTCGGCTGTTGACAAAGAATGGAGAAGGAATGGATTACTCATTCAGGTTGTTCTGCATTTCCACTTTAGAACACAAACAAGAATGGAAACATTTGTTTAATATAAGGGCTGCTTTTTCTTTCAGCCTGCCCCACACTCAGCTTATGGGGCCTGGACATAGATTTAATGCTCTTTCTTATGTTACATTAGTATTACTGCATTTGAGCTTAGTGCAGGAAGGATTTCTTTAAAGCAGCTACTAAGGTGCACTATAAATGGAAAAGAAGGGTGCAGGCTGGTAGTGGAGGCAGGTAACATACAATGATTCCAGTGTTGAGTGGCTCTTTGCTGGTCCGTAATGTGGAAAGAGGAGGCTGCATCTGGAAGACCATATTTTATGGTCTTCCATCTGAAGGGGTGTCAAAGAACTGCTCTGAGTTGAAAGTTGACCAGGCCTGGTTTCGAGAGAGAGGGCTGTACACACCCACCAGGGAGCTGACTGAACATAGTGGAATATACCGTATTTCTAAATTATTTTCATATACTTATTTCTAAATTTGTGTCTGTGTGTGTGCGTGTAGCACATGTAAACTTTACGCAGTGTGCTACCCCCTTTCCTCGTTTCCTCTCTGGCAATTCCGCAGTGCAACTGAGTGAAAAGCCATGTCAGTTCCAGAGAAAAACGGTGCATATGGAAGCCAGCTTATACGCACCAGAGCTGAATACTGTGCTGGCAGGCACCGCTTCTCACACCCCCGTGGCATGGGGTTTTGTTTAGGCTTCGTTCACCCTGTTCTGAAGGTTCAGGGAAGGCAACAAAGCAAAGACAGAAAAAAAATGTCCCTGAGCAACCGCTCTTTTCGAAGATAGTCTGAGCCCCGAATAGGCAGGCGTTGCAATACTTCCAAAGGGTGCTCAGGAGTTGGGCTCTGCGGCGTGTTCAGCGTGAAAGAAGAAATTAGCATGCTGCTCTTTCCAGGGCCAGGGTGGCATTGCTCTTCGGATGGGGGCATTGAGGCCTGGGAAATGAGGTCCGCGCACACAGAGATGGCAGAAAAGGACGTGCTTCTCTCAAGGCCGTCGTTTCCAAATGTTCAGACAGACCCTGTCAACCAAGAGGGTCTGGAAGTGCTGGGAGAGGAGGCAGAAGGATGGCCAGATCCTCGACTCAATGACACAGTGTCAGAAGGGCTAGTCAACTAGCGGGCCTGTGCAGGTTGGAAGGCTTGCCTGTCTCCAGAGGGGCAAACCTGAGGTTGGGGGGCAGGGTAACTGCAAAGGAGGGTTCTTGGAAATCATTTCTAGTTTGGGTTCTGTGAGCTGCTCTGTGTATGCTCTAAGACTCTCTCTTCTTGGATATTAGTTCACTGACTATACATTGGAAATAAAGTGTTTTTTGCCAAAGAACTGTCTGTTGGCAAACAGGAAGGGAGCTCAGCTCCCAACACAGAGTCTGCCATCATGGGAAGACCGGCATCATGGGGTGCTGCGCTTCTTGCACTGATGGCAGAGGCCCCAAGGCTGGCCAGGCCCCCACCAGGGCCCCACTGGAGTCCTGTCGCTGCTTCTCCACCACAGATGGCTTGATCCTCTGCCGCTGCTCTGGCCCAGGCATGGGTGGTCATGGAAGGAGGAGCAGTGGATGCCACGGCCCTGGCCAAGCAAGTGCCAGTGAGGATGAGGGGCCGGAACAGCTGGTTGCAACGGCAGTGCGAAGGCAGAAGCATTGTGGGACAGGCAATCTATCAAGGAAACCCAAGGAATCCTGCACAAGGGCCAGCAAAACCTGGTGCTGGAGGCAGGGAAAGCTGCACTGTTTCTTAGATGCTTGTAGCAAGGTGCTGCTCAGCATTCCAGAGCTCAGTGAGGGTGGGAAATGAAAGGGAGAATATGAATGATAGTGTCAAGCAAAAATAGAGAGAGAGAGAGAGAGAGAGAGAGAGAGAGAGCGCGCGCGCGAGCGAGAGCGGCTTTTGTATATTAAGACTGCAATCACTTAGGGAGTAAGTTCCACTGAGTTCAATATGGGCCAGTTCTGAGACGATTCATGCAGGTTTGCACTGCCAGACTTCATTTCTCCCACACATCCTTCTCTGTGTCTCAAAATGGGGGAAACAATATTTTGGTTTTGGAAATGCACATGGTATTTTAAATTATCAAGCCAAATCCCGGAATGGCCTGCAGCTGTGGTTTATTGTTTTTAGCATTTTTTTCCTAAATGAGTGATGACATATGGGGTTGACTCAAGCAGCCCCGTTAAAAAGGTTAAATTAAATTCCCATCCGCGAGCTGTCTGGTGGGAAAAGAAGGGCCAAAGTCCTGAAGAGCGGAGGGGCAGAAATCTCATTGGGCTGGAAGTGCTTCATGCCTGCAGATGCAGCTGTCAGCTGAGAAGGGAATGTGCCTGTAGGTTTGACCCAACGGCCTTAATGGGCCATTACAAATCTATCTGGCCGTATTCAGGAATAACTCCAACAGGTGTCTTGGAATTCTGATGAAAGCAGGGCCAAGTCTTGATCTGCCATGCTCCCTTCCTGCCTCTTTCCCTTCCACACGTGGGAGGAGAGGATTAGAAGATTCTGTTTCTCTTAGTAATTTATCCTTTCACTCACCCCAGGGCTAAATCTGCATGCAGGCTCTGCAGTGGCCCATTCTAGTCTAAGCTTAAGGTAAGCGTGTTTACTCAGAAGTAAAATCTCAGTATGTTCCATGCAATGTTCTCTCTGCTAAGTAAGTTTAGGATTGTGCTCTTATTAAAATGTTACTGCCAAATGAAGAAATGCAATACTTTGTTAGTGCCATAAAAACATTTCGTCACCGTTATCACCATCTTACCTGGCCCAGGAGTTTCTTCATGGAATTTATCGCCTGCCCAGCGACCTGTGTTTGAGACGAAGACAGCACTGGAGATGTAATGCTTGGAGGGACCCGCGTAGTCCACTATCTCGTACTGACCAGGCCCAGGTGAAGGGGGCGTTTTAGGACGAGGGACAGGTGGGGCAGAGAAAGTCAAGCTGTACTTTCGCCTAGGAGAAACAAGTAGAGACGCTGTGGAAGCAGGCTTGGGCTCGGAGCGACATGTGGGCAACTTGAGCCACGGCCTGTGTGTGATTTAGCTTATGCCCACGGACAGCCCTGTGGGATCGTGGCTGTAGAACTGCCCGAGTCGCATCAGGACTCTCATGAGGCAGAGTCTCATCAACTTGAGTGGACCTTTGATTTATGCTGCTGAGTGGGGGAGAGAGGCCAAGGAGGTCTTTGCAGCTGCATCCAAAGCTGTATTCCCTGATGTTCCCCCAGGACACATCATTTGTGGTGGCTGCTGTCCGTGGATTGTATTGCCCTGGGCCGGTATCCCAGGAGGCACTGCTCTTGACGGACGTCTGCCTTGTCTCCCATCTCGATCTTTGGAAGATGTTGGGGAAGGACTGCCTTCTGCATGCGGTACAGGAATGAATAAGAATCAAGACTGCCACCTAGTTCGAAAGGCTGCTGACCTACTGCTGAACATCTTGTGGCTTTACGGTTTTGCATGCTTTCCCTCATTTGGAAGGACTGGAATGTCTCTTCTAGAGATGGAATACTGCTCCTAAGAGCATTAAGCTAAACTATGTTGGTATGTTTGGCTCCACACAGGGTTGGAATGCAGCCCACTGAGAATTTACCTGAAACGGAATTGGGCCCTGAGCTTAATGGGCTCTGCCTCCTGCACTAGCCGGCTGAGGGCACGGCCCGTGGCTTTTCACTCTTTCTGCTTTAGGAGCACTTTCCATATTTTGGTGAAGAAGTGCAGTGCCTGGCAGAGGATTTTGGGAAGCATGCCTGAAGTCACGCACTCTTGACTAGAGGTCTCTACAGCACTTTGCTTTCTCACTCTATGGGAACACAGAATGTACCCTAGAATGCGCCGAACCCTGTTATCAGTGTGTCCCCGATCACATGTTCAGGCTTGTGTTCAGTCCTCAACTGGCATACTTTTTGGAAGATTTTGGGCTCTGAGTCTTGGTATGCTAGGGAGAGATTTCAGTTATAGCAATATAATAGCAATAGACCAAAGGCCAGATTTACATGAGAAAGGATACATAATGTATTACAAAACTGAGGGAGGCTAATGCATATGTGAATTTGGCAAAAATAGTGATGATGGTTTTGCAAACATAGTATAGCTTGGATCTGTAGATTATTTGGTTCCTGCTCAGCCATGGAGCCAACTGGGTGACTGGGCTAATCACAGGCCCTCACCTCAACCTACCTTGCAGGGTTGTTGTCAGCTCCTTGGGTTCTTTGACAAGACCATATAAATGCAGTGTGCTGCTGATTGCTTTACTGGGTAGGATGGGGAAGTTCTGATGTGGCAGATGTCTAGGATCACAACTTGAATCGTGACTCAGCATGGGCCACAATGCCCGTGGGAAGGGCGCTCTAATACCTCGCCATGAGCATCTTCCCCCTATAAGCCACCTGAAGCAACTGCCTCGGTCTGTTTCATGGTAGGGCTGGCCCTAGATGCAATATTGTACTGGAAAGAAGCAGGGTGGTTTTGGCCCAGTTCATGACTGGTTTGAAAACAGGAACCGTGAAAGGGAGAGCGCTCGCCTGGAGGCTGCCCAGCGACAGAGGCCTGCACAGGCAGACAACTCGTCTGGTCACAGTCTTCTCCACTGTGGTCAGATGTACTCCAATTCTTTTTAAATCATAGCTTTTATTTCTAAATGTGTAGACAGAGAAATTGGCAAAAGAATCAAAGGAGTTTGGATTTCTGTGAATCTGAGTCATGTGGATTTCATGGACTTGCAGATGGGTATTTCATTTGGGGGTGAGGGGGTTTGTGCAGATGTGCTCCTGTGCAAGTGAGCATTAGTTCAGATGCACATTTGCGAACAAGGATGACATTCTTGTGCATCCATTAAAAAAAACAGTTCCATCAATTACCAGATGATGGAATGACAGAAACCTGATAATCCATGAAACAGATGGTAAAGATTAAACCATGGGTCCTCAAACTACGGCTTGGGGGCCGGACCTGACCCGCCATGCCCATTTGGACATGCTGCGCGCGCCCGCCACCGCCCACCACGCTGCGCACGCGGGGAGGCAGTGGCTTGCTCCCTCGGAGAAAACGATCTTCACGCGAGCAAACCGCTGCCTCGTGCGCCCGCCTCGCAGTGCGTGCCCACCCCCGCCTTGCCTCCCCTCCCCTCGCCATGCGCACTCGCCCGGGCTTTGCCTCGCCCCTGCCTCAGCGCACACGCCGGCCCGCGCGCACCGCCGGCACCACCTTTCCGGCCCACACCCAGCACCGGCACCTTTCAACTGGCCCCCTGGTGAAAAAGTTTGAGGACCCCTGGATTAAACAATGTCGTGCTTCCCTACATGTACATATCCAGAGATGTGACTGTGATGCACTTCTGTGTCCTCCTCTCTCAGTTTTTGATGATCCATTTCCTCTCCTGTCATGGCATTTCCTGCTTCTGAAGAATAATCACAAGCAAGGAGGAGGCAGGCCATGCCTTTTCGGGTCATTCTGTGTGTCAAGAAGCCCCCCGTATCTGCCACAGAACCCCTGCACCTTCTGTGGAAGATTCTGGAGGTGTTCTAGGGGCCTAGTGAGCATGAACTGGAAGGGAGTCTCGAATTGGAGGGACCGATGCTCAACTGGAACAAACTGCCGGCGCTGCTGGCTCTCCCCAGCTGTAACTCTGGCCCTGGAGGCATCCATCACTTTGACATAAATGGGAGCTGGATTGGCCTCTAAATGCTGATAGTTCTGGCATTTTCTGCCAGCACAGATAGGTGTTCTTTGTTCCTTGGGTCTGATTTACATCTTCTGCAGTCACGTCAGTTTATTGCATCCTATCCTACTGCACACCAGCTCTCTCTCCCTCTTCCTCCATCAAGTCTGCATTAAAAAGCCATGAGATGTAGTAAAGATACCCTGAACGTGTGCAGAGAGCTCCAGGCTCACACGGGGGGGGGGGGGGCAGAGGGAAATGGGCAAGAATTTAACAGGTAGATCTTAATCTTATCTCAAGCAAACCGAGTTTGCTGTTTACAGATTGGTCACCATAAAATCGGCTGGGTTGAGTAACTGGCTAGCAGTTACATTTATTGGCCTCTGGAGCAGTTATGGGGAGGCAGTGCTGTGTGCTGCGATAGTGGGGCTTGCTCCCTATAGGTTGTTAAGAGAAGGCTGGAATTCCTTTGTTACACACGTTGATGCAAAACTTCATTGGAGGGTCGGACTTTCAAAAGTTAGCTCGCTGATCCTTTTCTTCTCAGCCCTGAGCTGCATGCCATTCTAGTAAGGCAGGTGCTCCTGAGCAAGTGCAGAAGGCCCTTCCATCCCTGCTGAGTAGTCCCTTGGGGACTAGACAGACCTCCAGGCTAATCCAGTAGGGCAGTTCTCCTGTCCTTATGAGTCTGCTTTCTCATTGCCCCTGTCCCTGGCCGCTCTTGCTCCTCTTCCTCCTCCTCTCATCACGGCTGCTGCTCTCTTTGTGGACAAGCAGAGAGCCGGGGAGTGGGCCAGCCAGGCACGGTGCCCCCCCACCCCACGCCTTCCTAAACACAACCGTGCTGGCCTGGGCCAGAGGGAGAAGCCCGTGAGCAAGCAGGCTGCAGTGGAAAAGGGGAACAGCAAATCTGTGGCGGGGAGGGGGATCAGTGGCCCCTGCTGAGGCGTGGGCTCCTGGCAGGGGCCCAGCCACGTCCACCCTGATGTTGGCCTTCACTGTACACAGAGCTCGTACTTTGCCACTGGGCTCAGCTCTTCCATGCCCTAAATTCCTTCCTTTCCGCTCTGCTGCCATCCTCATGATCAGACGGGGAGTGCTGAGACTGGGTAATCTCTGTGCCCCCCCCCCTTCTGTGTTGCTGCTGGTTCTGCGGACTCTCTGAACCCAGGGAGTCGGCAGGCTGAAGGAACGTGTTTTAAAAGGGCGCTTCTGGACTCACAGGCCAGGGAATCGCTGCGATGCTGCCACGGGCGTCTTGGCCGGCCACTGGTAGGCCGCGGGCCCTGGGCTCAGGGTCTCCGGCTTGGTTTCGCGACTTGTTCTGGATTTGAAGCAGGACACCAGCACCGCAGGTGACTGCCGTATCAAGGAATCGTTAATTTGGTAATGGCCTACATTTTAAAAAGAGAAACAGAAATGGAGAAATGGACCTGGAAGCTTCACGTTCTAATTGTAGTGGAATGAAGTAGGCACTTGAGCAGATTGTCAGGCCCAGGGGGGCCTGACCCACGTCCGGTCCATCTGGGGGGCAGACCACACCTCCTGGGTTCCCAGATGGCCACAAGCCCTTTCCCTGACATCATCCTTTTCCCACCCACTGCTGATTGGTGATTTGTCAGCTTTTGTGCTGTGTGTCCCCACAACCGCAAGGATGAAACACCTCAGCCAAGTGCTGCTTTTAGCCCTGCCCTCCTGGCACTGGGATGCAGTCCTAGGGGCTCCTCCGCAATGGAGGAGCTCCATTGGCCCTTAGCCGAAAGAGGCGCAACAGTGTCCACTTAGAGCAATCACTCTGGTGCCCCCCAGATGTGCTGGATTAGAACTCCCATCATCCCAGTCAGCATAATGCCATTCTGGCCAGATTATGGGACCTGTAGTCCAACACATCTGGGGAGCACCAGATCAGATGAGGCAGACTTAGAAGAAAAAAGTGAAATGGTTCAACATCCTGGATTTTTTTTTTAAAGATTATTGCATGCTAATGCCTACTGAACTGTTAATGCTGGAGAAAGCAAAAGTAAATAAGCCAATTGGATTTTGGTTTTGGATTTCTAAATAGACTGGTTGCTCAGTCATATTGAACTGTTTCCCCATCAGGGTATCTGGTAGGAAAACATCTGGGGAGTGGAAGAAATGTGGTTCCCCCTCCCCCTTCACCGCGTGCATTTGATTTCTCTAACATCTTTAGGAGCCACAAAGAAGAATAAAGTTATTTTGCAAGGGCGGAGAATTAAGAACTGCTCACTTACAAGGAGAAGGTACGTGCTCCTTCCTGTCGAGTGACAACTCCCGCTTAGTTCTGGACGAGAACACGGCCTTGCTGCCAGAGTTGCAGCTCTGCTTGCAGAAGTCCATCGAGACCTGTGAGCAGAAGTGAGCAATTTGCAGAACACTCTGACCTTTCAATGGCCACTTCAGGAAATACTTTAAAAAAAGGAATGCCAGCAGATACTAACTGCTGCTTGGTCACCCAGCCTGAATGATGGCAGAACATGAACTAAACCTGGTTACTGGATGGTGCACAAGCGAACACTGTAATTTAAAATACATTTCAAAACCCACTTGACCTACTAGGTCATTGCCCAGTAGCTGACCTGTACTGTCCACCCCTGCTGTGTGGGTGGATTGTCCCCTGTGGGCACCGCTGGAGAAAACTGTTTCTGGTACAGCCCCTGTGAAATCGGCTATTCTGCATTTTCTGGGTGAGAAGCTAGCAGCTTGAGATTCTTTGCATTTTGTTTTCTAAATGGCATTTCTAGTCCTTATGATGAATCCAGTGGGTGTAGAAGTATACAGACAATGCCTCATGAACTCAGGTTTTCTGTGGTGCATACATCTTCTTTTCCTTCTCCATTTACACAGTCCTCTGTGTCAGCGTGTGCAAATAGACAGTTAACTGTGTTAAGCAGGCATGGGGAAAGCAATAGCCTTTCAGTTATTTTGGAAGGCAGCAGCCACTGTCCATGTGGGGCAGGGTTAGAAACATAGAAACAGAGCGAGTCAGAAGGGGCCTCCCGGGCCATCTAGTCTGACCTCCAGCACCAGCCGGGTTGATAGGACGTAGAGTCCATGTGGGGCAGGGTTGATATGACGTAGAGTCCGGCAACAGCTAGAGATCTGCAAGGTTCCCTGCCCCTGCGTCAAGGGCTCACTTTCCTAGGCAACAACTATTCACACTTACCTGGGAGTAACTGCAAATGAAGCCAATGGAACTTCTTCTGAGTAAACTCAACTGCACTGGTTGCACTCTGAATGACTTGTGCACATAATTGAAGGAAGGGCTGGTCCTGATTTATAATGAATTCTTTTAAAAAATGAATTATGGTTTCTAACCCATGGATGTCTTGGATACCAGTGCATCGGTCAAATGACTCATACTTAGGTGCTTGTACTCTACTGACAGCACTGGAACACGCAGACCCAAAGCAGGATTGAGCGGCTTGTGGCTCTCCAGATATTTTGTCCTACACAGTCCTTCACTGTAAGCCGTGCACTACATTACACATCACACAGCGGATCAGAGTTAGGTCAAAAACATCTGGAAGACCACACAGTGCCCACCCCGGCCTACAGGCTTCCCTACCCTGGCGCTGTCCAAATGTCTTTATTTGAAATGATACAAGGACACAGTTCTAATTAACGTGCACCTTTATTTTAAACTAGTGGGGGTGCTGCTTGGATAGAAATATGAAGCAGGGCTGACAGGCGTGGGCAGCCACTGAGGGCCCCCTCCCCAGCAGGAGTTCAGCAATAAGACCCCCCCGGACCTTCTCCTCGGCTTCATCATGACCCCCTGCTTGTTGCCCCGCCTCTTGCTCTGGCCCAGGGAAAGGTGGTTGTGAGAAGATGCCGGGTTGGCTTGCTTCCTTGCTCTCTGCCTGTCAGGCAAGGAAGGGGCAAAGCAGCTGGTGCCCGTGGTGATGAGGAAGGAGATGAGCGGGGGAAAGGGCCCGTGGGCTTGTCCCACAGTTCGGATTTAGTGGAATCTCACACCAGGTGTGGTGGAAATGTTCTCTGGGCTTTTCAGGGCAGAGCTTTGGCATTACTTGACAAGGAGGGCTGTGACATAAAAGCCTCGACTGTCCCTGTCCTGCAGCTTGGAAACAGTTATTTTCCTCTTGCAAGACTTGGGGGCAAATCGCTACGTGTGCCCTCCCGTCGGCCCGCCCCATTGCAGAGGCTCTCGTTCAGCTAAGTGAGATGGGTGATGGCTGGAAAGGAGCTGGTCTTCATCACGGTGCCCCATCTAGAGAACGCCCTCCCCAGAGAGTTCTGCCTAGCACCAGCATGCCTGTCTTTTCACTGGCACATGAAAAGATTCTTTTTAATTTTGCCAGGTTGAAAAAAACTGTAACTGGAACAGATTTTTCTTTTCTTTTCGGTATATCATCTGGCTTTTATACACCACACTGAAGGTGACTCAACTGCATGGAACAGCAGCAGCAGTGGGGGCAGGTGGGCAGAGAAGTTGCTTGCCCTCGGCTTTCTGCGGCACCTGCGGGGTTCCCAGAGCTCATGTGAGGCAGCCCAGCTTGTTTCAGAATCGGAATCCCAAACCCCTCTCTGAGAACTATAAACGAGGTGCCCACATCACCCTTTCCCAAGCTTCAAAGGCATTTGGACCACAGCTCAGTCAATGGCCCTGCTGGACAGGAACTCGGGGTGTTGCAGTCAAAATGTGCCCGGAAGGTACAAGGTTGGGGAAGGCTGGCCTGCATAATACACCAAGGAAATTGGGGTTCATTTCCATGGAGGCAAAACCAGTGGGGTGTGGGCAAGCAATGCCCAGCGGCTCAGGGGACAAGAGCCTTCTCAGTCCAACTTCCATCCAACTTTTCAGCTTGGCAGGGAGGGATAAGGGGTGGCACAGCAGGGAGCGACTTCCAAACCATGCCAGAACCTTACAACAAGCCATGGATTCCGGGGCGGGTTGGAAGCTACCCCTGCTATGCATTTTTTCTTATTTATTTTATTAATATACCGTCACATTATTATAAAATCTCAAGAGGGTTTATATTACATATGCATCTTGGATGACAAGACAACTGTGGGTTGTGAAGGTACTTAAGGCAAGAAGTGGGAGGCTCTCATGGGGATGGGGAAAAGAAGTGGTCACCCGGCGCACACACGCGCACGCGCGCACGCATGTATGTGTTGTGGACAGAAGAGTGGGAATAATAAGGGATTGCTGGGAGAAAGAGGGAAAGTGACCTGCCAGGCTTCTCTGAAGATCCTCAAATAAGCCACCTAAAATTAAGTACTTTCAAAGTACATTGTGTTTAAGCAATCAAAACGACTTCAAACGTTTTTATTTTATTCTGCAAACAATAAAGGCAAGTTGATTGCACTTAGGAAGGATAACATAGGAAAAACAAGTGACATCTAAAATCTATCCCGTTTACAATACTTTATTTTTAAATCACTGCAGCTCTGGTTTCGAATTTTCTCACACAGCTGCCACAGCTGGGCTTACTTGGATCGTTCTGGGTTCCTGCAGTGAAAGCTTGTGAAAACTTAATCCCCACCGCACCCCCACCCTTGGGGTGAATGAATGAATGGTTTCAATCAGATAGTGTATGAATGGATATAATCAATGGGCAACAAGTAAATTGCTTGGGAAGGAACAGTATATACCCTTCAGCAGATGTGCCTCTCCTGCCTCTTGCTAACTTTTTGGATTCCAGACAATGATTGTCTTCTCTGTACAGCATTCCCTCCCCTTATCCCTTCTTACATGATATTGGTTGGGAGCTGGGGTGGATCTTTTGGAAATCTTCCGGGCAATTGGCTGCTGAAACATACTGGAATAGCCCAGGCTGAAATCTCGCTTGGACTGCAGAGTCGGTGGGAGCTCATAGGCGTTCGCAGCGGGGTAGCTGGGAATCCTCTGACGAGCAATACGTGTATCCTGGGAAGAGAAACAGGAATGGGATGGGGTGGTTTACCCAGCTGGCCGCTGGCTGTCACCAGAAAAACAGACTCCCTCACTTCAGCCTCTGATTCGTTTATGGCCAAGAAGGCCGTAGGGGCTGCGTTTTTATGGCGGTCAAGGAAAATTAACTGTGGGCACCACTGCAAAATGGCTTCCACTGAGGGTGTGGCTAATCTCATAATGGTCTGGCCAGTCCAAAGACAAGCAATTCACCAAGAACCTAATGCAAGCCTATGTACGCTTATCTGGAACACGGGGGAGCTGCGTCTGCATAGGGAATGGCAACGTGGGTTTCCTGGGCTCAAAGGAAAAGAAATGGTCCCCAGCCCCAAAGGGAATGAAGAGGTGATCACAGCCTGAACCCTGGGCTCAGCCACTCTGCTCCCCACCTGGCAGAGGGGAGAGAAACAGCAAGACAAAGGGGTGAGAAGGGAGAAAGAGCGAGGCTGGTGACTAGGGTGGAGGAGAACTCAGAAAGGGAAACAGGTGGGCTACTATGAGAGGGGAGAAACATGAAGAGAAAAAGATGTGAAGCAAGAAGTAATGAGACTAGAGAGAGAGAAAGCAGGAGAGAGTAAGCAGGAAAGAGGAAAGGTCTGTGTGGGTGGGAGACCTCCAGCAGATCAGCAGATTTAGGAAGAAGGAGGTTCTGGTGTCCTTAACATTTTCCAAATTAAAAGCAAAGCTTTGCAGGGAGCAGGGAAGGAGATGCTAATGGGGGCCACTGGAGGTCCCTGGGGACAGGCAGCTGAATATGTCTGGCAACTGATTTTTTAAAAGAGAGTTTCTGAGAAAGGAATGCTGTTATGGCAACCAGCGTCCACCCCAGTGGGCCTGGACTTGCCCATACTGGTCTAGGAAGTAATGCCTGGCATGCTCAAACTGCCCCCATCATCTGCCACTCCCTTAAGGTCATTTGGGCCCCTCCCTGGGCCACAGGGCCGTGGACCGCAGCCCTCAGGGCTTGCCCTAGAGGCACCACTGGTCCTCTTTCTTGTCTAAGGTGACAGACCCTGTCTGTTCTGTTGATGAAGTTCACCTGATTTGCAAGCTGCAACCAAGATTTTGTGATGGCATCTCTATTCCTTTTAAAAAAGAAGCAGAACTCAAGAGCCTGTTTGGCATGTGCCACAAATGAGAGGCTGTGTAGGAGTTTTAGTGTGTCAGGAAAGCTGGGGTGAAGTCCCTGCTCAGCCACAAAGCTCACTGGTTAGCGCTGAGCCAGGCACTGATTCTCACACGAAGTCATTACGAAGATAAAATGGAGTGGAGGGCTACCTTCATGCCTTGCCAGAAGAAAAAAGAGTCAGCTTTGCTCTTTGCAAGAGGAAAGATGGCAGAATATAAGCATGTTGGTATTAGTAACAGTAATTCCTGCAGTCTCATAGGCTGAGGCCCAGCTAACCTCTCTTCTACTGCCAACCCCATTTTCCTCTGTTCTCCTCCCATTTCAATTGTAATGCATGAGGGGATCAGAGGATCCAAGAGGAACACTCGGTGTTTTAAAAAATGGCTTCTGAACTGCTTGGGGGCTTTGGGCACCTCCCCAGACACAGGCTGCCCACACCCATTAATCACCAGCTGACTGTCAGCAAGGATTTGCCACCCAGTTAGAACCAGCACTGATGCTCATATTTGAGGCAGTAAGCCATCACAACCTCATTTATCTCCCTTTTCATGCAGTGACGTTTTTCTGAGTGAGCCCTGTATGGTGATGGATGATATTTGCCATGTCAGTGTAAAGGCTTCAGCGCTAACTCCATGATGATGTAAATATGAGCTGTCACCACTTCTTATGGACACCTGCCATGCAAGAAAAAACCTCTCAAAATTCAAGAAGCTGGTGCACTAGATTAGTTAAGGGCATGAATTTCGTGCTCAGAAGCCCCTGGTTTAAATCTCACCTCATCCACTTACATGGGTGAAGGTTCAAGAGCGTTCCAAAGGTTGCATGAAGCTTCCAAGTTTAACTGCAGGTGCAGTGGAAAAAAATGCTTCCGTGCCTTTTTGATTCATTCTCAGTGCCTTTTCAATGAGTGCCTCTTTGACCATTTTCGGTGCTTTTGCAATCTATTCTCAGTGCCCTTTTGATCGTTCTCAATGCCGAAATGGGTATTGTTTAGGGTCTAGGAATGGATTAATGCACTTTCCATTATTTCTAATGGGGAACATTGCTTCCGACTTGGAACACAAGAGTTCAAATAGCCTTGTGAAGCAAATTAAGTTTGAAGTTTGAGGCACCACTGTATTGAAGCAGAGGAAAGGAGTTAGGGGAAAAGATGGGAAGGTATACATGGGGAAAGACTCAAGTATTCCAGATCCAGACCATAACAAACCTTAAAGTAAGCGTCAGCGTATTGTGTTTAGTTCTGAAGCAAAGATGCCATCCATGAAAAGTATACCAGATTAGAGTTATATGTTCCACTCCGTGGCCAACGCCAGAAATCAATCTGACTGCCCCATGATGGCCCAAAGGTAGCTCCTGAACAAACTTCAAGGGAAGCACTCCAAGGATGCATTTCAGTACACAGGAGGATGGCTGCTTCTGCACTGCCAAAGAAAGGAAGCAAAGTATCCCACCCCAAGAAAAGGGGGTACCAATTGGTTTAACATTTGCATATGTCAACTGATATGTAGAGAGATGCCCATTTAGAAATAATTAGGAATTACACAGAAATATAATACATCTCACTATAGTGGAGAAACCAGTGACCAGGTGAACTGTGTGTCTGTTGTTCAGTCTCCTGCCCAAATATTCGTTTTTGGTGGGCAACTTAAAGGCAGGACAGCTTTTCGTGTAGAGGACCCTTTGAAGTGAAGGAGTGTGCTCGCAAGGCATTGTTGCCACATCAGCAGAGAACCTCAGGGGATTTGGACCTCCGTGAATCCACACCACCTGTCAAAACTGCCCCATTTTAGGCCAAATGGTCCGTGTTTAGGCTTTGTGAAGGAGCACTACTTGTGCAAACAAGTACACACATTTTGTGTTCTTAAAGGCCGTACTCCAATGGAAGAGGAACAAACCCTTCAAGTCCTAAACATATTTACTAGGAGGAAGTAAATCCTGTTCATTTCAAAAGAATTAGCTTCCAAGGTTAAACCTGAGGATGATGGAATCCAGGTTTAATTACAGTTGTATTATAGTTGTATCTCTTGGCAGACGAGTTAATCTTTCTCTGTTGCAGATCTGTTCCAGACAATCATGAACTTCCCCTTATTACCGTAGCTCATAAATGGCAGGAAAAGAGAACTTCACCAAAAAGCTTTCAGACCTGGCCTCTCTTTTTATAGCCTCCCAGCCCCTCCCCTGCCCTGGTGATAAATATGTATAAGCCATTTCCCTTACCAAGGAAGGGAAAAAACAGGTTCCTTTCCGGGACTGGGAGACATTGTTGAGAAGTGCAGACTGATGAGTGACGTTATAGAAGCCCGGACCTGGGTTTTCATTCTAGGAAGAACACAACACAAAATAAGCGCAATGTGTTTATGGAGTCTGTCACACAGGCAGTCGTCTGCTAGTGCTTAGGAACAGCTGATGATTGACGAACACTTTGGAGAGCTATGACAGGAAGTTTTCCCAAGCTGGGTTAGTCTAAAGGGGCAACCGCAGGAAAACCTCGGAGGCAGAACTCAAGGCCATGCCACGAATTTGAAAAGGCTCAGAAAAATGAAATAATAGGGCAGCCTTTCCCAACTAGGGCCTGTCCCAAAGTCTTGGACTATAATTCCCATCATCCCCAACCAGTATGGCATGATTAGAGTTATTCTAGTACACACAAAGGCCACCCAATTGGACAAGCAGGAAATATGCTCCCAAGCTCCAATGTTGAGATAACTGATAATATAAAGAGTTGTTTGAAGTAGGTGTCTGGATGTTTGGTCTGCTTTTGCTGAAGCTTATGTATAACTGCTAAAAACTTGTGAGCATTTCATACACATCTATGTATACATATTTTAAAAAGAAAAGCAATTTTTAACTTTCCTTTTTTCAGTGCCCTTTGCCAGTGCCATTGGAGGTCCCCACAGACACTATCCTGTACTGGGGACCTGAAGAGTAGGCCCCACCACGAGCAGGCCCCACCATGTGGCCTAGCCAGGAAGACTGCCTCAGGTGGCAGAATGGAGAGGGCTCGAGGGAGGCAGGAGCTGACATCACTTTTTGAAGTGGGGCCTCAATCTGGAGGGTTTGCCATAGCTGCTCTGTCACTTAAGGTGGTCCTGGGAAGTCAAGCAGGGGTGCAGCAGCTTGTTCCTTCTGAGGGTGGAATCCCGTTTCAGAGACCCTCCTGCAGTGGACTGCATGCTGAAGGGCCATACTTGGCTACGGAGGTAACTATTCTGCCCAAACACGCATAGGATTTCAGCCAGAGGCTGCCATGGTATGAACACTGGGCAGATTCTACATGGCCATGGGAGTTTTGGAAGTCAGAAGGTTGTGCAGAGGTCGGAGCTGGGACTCTGAGCTTGGAGCACCCTCCTCCCACCCCTGCAGAAGGAAGCAAGGTTCTTGGGGCGGGAAGGGAAAGGAAGGGGAGAGACAGGCTCCAGCAACGTACAGTGTGTCCCAGGCAGCGCCTTGCATTCCTTTTCGGCCTGCTCCAAAATTGTGTTTTGCACCTGTGCCTCTGCGCTCTTCCTACCAGGCAAAGGATGCCGACAAGCTGAATCTGGAGAGGCATGGGGGCGCCTCATTGGACTGCATCTTAGTTGACAAACAGGGTGCATGCATTAAAAGCCTCCTGATTTAAAAAGTATCACCAGTTAATTGGTTATTTTAGGTTCTGATTTTCTTTTATACAAGTGCTTGCAAATCCCTGGTGAGTAGGACCTATGTTGGAAAAGAGAAGATGCCGCCCCCTCCCTCCCTCCCTCCCTCACACAGAGAGAGAGAGAGAGAGAGAGAGAGAGAGAAGGAAGCCTCATTCACAAGGGCACCTGCTCTGGCACATCAACACATCACCAGGAAGCAGTGCTTTTTACCCACGTGCAAACATATGCAGGCTTCATCAACTGACTGAAACTTGTTGGATGAATTGGCCAAGATGCCTTTATGCAGGGTCACAGCCCTACTTAGGAATCTGTTGTGCACTTCATGTCAAAACGAGGGCATTTGTTTCCTTCCATCCAGCAGTGGAGGGCGCGCATGACACGAGTGTGACCTCGTGGGTGGAGATGCACACAATGGCACTCTAATGTGGGTTCAGCACTCACCCTCCCATTACTTAAGCCTCTGAATGTTTTACTGCTTTTCGTCAATTGTCACTGTACACTAAGCAGGCTCTACTTGGCTTGTTTCAAAATCAAAATAATCTCATTTTAATGGGGGGAGTCTCATGTTGCATGGCAAAACGGGTCCAAAATGGAGGATTAGGTTTCCCCAGTGTCTGCACTGCAGCATACAGAGACTCAGGGAGGTCAAATCCATCACATGCCTAATCCCACCTATACATCTGATTTGGCCTGAATGATTTCAACATGTGGGCAGAGCATATTATTTCAAGGCACCGCACCCCTCCCTGAGTCAATGCTTCTTCCAGAACGGCTATTCTTTTATTCCAGAGTGAAAACTGGGTGAGTTTTCTATTTATAGGATGAATGAAAAGCAAGCATGCCAAGCTGCCCCAGGTACCACCTCCCACCCACTTCACATGAAGCTGGTTCACCTCCCCAATAGGCCGGGTTGGTGGTCTTGGGTCAGGCGGGCAGGGGAGTGGGCAAGCCAGTTCTCGATGGTGGGCTAGTGGAGCCGGAGCTCTCGGGGATGCAGCTTGGCAGCTTCTGTTAGCAGGAGGTTGATGCCATCACCCACCCACTCGGGATTCTTTGATTCCTCTGCAAACCTCACAGCAGCTGGGTGGAATGAATTTCCTGCCATCACGATACCATTCCTCTAATAGCTTGGGGTAGAACAAGGGGTAGCTTGGCCTTCAGTGGGCAATTTAGACCATCGTGTTGCAAAAGGACTACTGTACCGAGATAAAACTGCTAGAACTGGTTTGTTGATGAGGCACAGCATCACATTGCCTGCATTTTGGGACTCTCTTTAAGAAGAGAGTTTACTCTGCTGGACTGCTGGGGCTGCAGTGGGCACAGGAGGGCGGAGGTTCCTTCCCACTTTGCACTGGGCCACGTCAGGCAACAACAGTAATGACGGATTCTATAGTGGCATCCTGCGGATACCTACTCAGAAGACGGATGCATCTCGGTGGGGCTTGCTCCCAGGTGACTGAGCACAGGGTTGCATCCAAGGAAGATTCGGTTAATTTGTGTTGTATTAGCTCCTTTGAGTCCCACTTTTTTAGGCAGAAGGCAGGACAGAAATTGATCAATTCAAAATAAATAATAATCCCTAATTTCAGACACAGAAAAAAAAGACTTCAGGCATATTCCATCCAACTGCTTAGCAAAATGCGACTGGAACTAATTTCTGTCTCTCTGATCAAACCAGCTATTTATTAAACAATCATCATATATTAATGGCCTAATTAAACATTTACATAGTAGCTAGTCACACTGTGTTCATTGACTCTCAGGTTATGATATACTAGATGGTGGCATCAGTAAAATCCTAGATGATTTCTATTCAGGCGTTTGTTCTTTCACGGGGCCTTACGATGCCTGCCACCTGCCTGTCTCCCCTGCTCTAGCCCAACTGTCCAGAAATGGACCTGCAGCTTGTGTTGTCCCACCCTGTGCTATGCTGCTGCGGAGCACTGAGCATCTCCACAGTTTGGACTTCCTGCAAAGAGCCTTGAAAGGGTGGGATACCAACACTCGCTTCCCCCTCCCAGATTCATGGGAAGAAGCAACTGTTCTCTAGGGATAATCTGGAGTTTGCCAAACCTTTGTATTTCTTGTGGCTTGGCTTACTGCCTGCTGGCATTACAGAGCAGGAAATTCTCAAAAGGAGAAGGGAGCATATTATAGAACTGCTTGCAGGTTTTGTAAATGTTGCCTTTTCCTGGCTTTTACTTTGAGAGTTTAGCAACAAGGCTAGCTTGTCAGTTGCAGGAAGGAGAGTCCTGTCTGGATGAGTTAATTATATTGAGTCTTGAACATTTGGCCAGGAATGTGGGATTCCAAGAGACAACTATTGGGAAGGCAGCTGGCAGGATGGTGGAGAAATGGGGAGAGGGGCGATCTGGGTGCCTGCTAAGAGCTGGAGGAAGCTGATGCCGGACCCAGGCAGGAAAGGAGAGGAGAGGAGTGGGTGATCCTCGTGCAGGCCCTCCATGTGCCAAGGAGACACTGGCTTCTGTATCACAATTACAGACCAAGCACACACTGCATTACGTGGAAAGCTGCTATACGTCAAGGTGGACATACGATGCCAGGCATGGCTTCCTCCTGCAAATGCACCTGGAGGTACATACCTGTGCAGCTGCTTCGAACATGGCAACACATGCTCTGCGCACACCAGGGACAGGGAACTCCTGGCTCACAGGCCTCTCCCACCAAGCTTGCAGTGGCTCGGGCTCCTTACCTTCTCTTACTAACTTCCAGAATAGTAAATGGCACAAGGTCTGCTGTTCTGTCGAGGTAGATTTCCAAATGCAGCCATAAGTGTGGATGACCACGAGATGCCTGACCTTGCTGTGGTTTTCCAAACTCCATCTCCAGGTTTGGCTCACTTTCAATCTCCTTTGAAAAATGTGCCCTTCCCCCCATAGACTAGAGTGTAGAAATGCACATTTGCACTCATGCACTCTCACACAAGCACACACTGTCAAACACAACAGCAAGTCCGTGAAATTGTGAGCATCTTCTGAGAGTCGCATTCCTGCTTGTGAACTTATCCAGGGGTGCAAACAGGATACGCAGGCATGATTTGCAAAAAGAACGAAATTCTTGTGCAGGTGCTCCTCCTGTCCAGGCTCCTCATGCAAGAAGAGCTCAGCACAGAGGTTGATCCAACCATGTGGGTACCCATAAACTGCAATGCCTAAATTATGCCCAATTTGCAAACATAAGTGCCTGATTTATGAGGATGAGCTGACAGTCATGGGATTGTGAAGGGGCAAAGGGTACTGTGGGCTGGAGAAACTAGACAATGCATGAGAAAGATACAGCATGCCCCCCAAGGAGAGAGATACAGCATGCCCCCCAAAGACCATATGACCACCAGCTCAAGATTTTCCAAGAGTTTCTTTTCCCAGTGCTAGAGAGAAACAGTTGATCTCAAAGTCCACAAACCCGTGTAGCAGTGTTTATCTTCATCAGGAGCTATTCTTTCTAGAACTAATGGGTCCTAATTGCCCAAAATACTTTGCATTGCAACAGGGATAGCTCGTAACCATAAGCTGGTAAAACTGATTTCTGCTCAGCTATTGTGAGGAGTGCAGCTAAGCTCTGGAGGAGCGGAGATGTTTGGCTGGGGCAGGGTGGATGCCAGAAAAGGTTTTCATTCCTGCTGTTAAAATGGTCCTGGCTCTTCCACCCTGTGAGCCTTGGCTCCACTACACCACTAGTGTTTGCTTTTATGGCTATGTAAACATTCATAGCACTGCATAAATCAAGGGTAAGGAAACTTTTTGACCCCTGAGGGCTGTATTTCCACCTGGGTGAGCTCTTGGGCCTCATCCAGGCAAAGAAAAAAATCCAGAGAGACAAGCACATGGAGCATTTATACATACACACACCCCCACACACAAATATGAACAACATGAATGTGTTCATACACAGAGGCATGTTGGACTGAGGAGGCCATGCTACGAAAGGACCTCTGCCTCATAGATCCCCCCTTTGCTATTACCAGCACAAGGTGCTGGAGAGAACAAGGTTTTGGGGGGACTCCAAAATCTGCTGTCTCAGTCAAGCTATTTTATCCTGCCCTGGGGGTCCTATTGGGGTGGAAAGTGCAGGCAGGCAAGTGGAGGCCTGGTCGAACACCCACGAGGGGCCCACTCCCCAGCAGGGCTAGCAAGAGCACCTTAGACTGGATCTGCCTCTCCCACTGGCCCAGGCAACAGTGCTGGTCAGAAGGAAGTAAAGGAGATGCCACGGCCAGTGCCTGTCAAGCAAGCAAAGGGGAGCACTGTTGCGAAAGAAGAGGAGGAGCACAAGCAACTGGGCCAGGGCACTGAGAAGGCAGACTCATGAAGGGAGGGGAGCCTAGTCAGGGTGTCTTGTTCAAGGGCGCTCAGCAAGTTAGAACTGGCACTGGGTGCAGGATAAAGATATTCAGATAAAAGTAGGACCATTGTAAAATGCTATGGGCAAGATTTGAGCTGATCTTCAATTCTCCATTTTGGAACCAATGGGAAGTGCTTGCTTTTCACTGAATTTTAGCCAATGTGACCTGATGTGATCAAGCTCACTTTCCTGCATCACAGGGTATTAGGGCTGCTTGATGCATAAAAATGCAACAGGAAAAAGAAAACAAACACTTGACTGCATTTCATTTGTTACAAATGCATACCTTTTCCTGCATAAATATTTCTCTCCATGCACTGTAATACAGAGTGGCTCTCAGAAGCAGCCACACAGAGAAAGAAAAAGAATAAAAAGCCAACCAGTCTGCAGTTCTAGAAAAATCTAGAAGCTGAGATTGGCTTACTGGCCCAGAATAATGTTTCTTTACCTCTTGGGACTAAGATAAATAAGTACTTGCTGTGTTTTGCAGTACAATTCAGAGCAGAAAAGAAAGCCAGTTCAATTGTCTAGGAATAGCAATCCAGACAATGTTGTAGGAGTCTAGTTTTTTTTCTATCTGTATGGAAGCAACACTGGAAATTGCAGTTCTAAGGCAAAAGGATAACAGGTGTTATATATGACCTGCTTGAGCCAAGGAGAACCAATTATATAGATTGTTTTGTTCTCCATCCGAAGCTGTCATGAAGGACTCAGCTCTCCTCACCTTATGAAGTTCTGCTTCCACCTACTGGTCAAAATGAAAAATATGCCACAAAGATACTGCTTTTGTTCTACATGTTTCATTACCCTGACACCAATGATCACTGGCGAGAAAGTGCAGGAGTTCAGGCCCAGTTTGCAGATAGCTATGAATGATGAGCTATATAACCTATAGTTAGATGTGGCTACAGGCAGCGATGGAGTGTGCCATGTCCCATGTACTTGCTACTTCAACTGTCCAGAACAATGCAGAAATACTCCTGTGGTTTTGTCCTGATGTCCATATTTGGCACTCCAGGTTGTTAAAGGCTAAACAACCCAGAGTTTTAACCCAATAAGAAATCATGGATTAAAACTCTGAGGACACAATCCTTTTACCCCTTCAAGAGGTGCCTAGAAACCTTTTCATTCCCCTAAATTTGCTTCCTCTGGCCAAGGGCTAAAATGAACAAGAAAAAGCCTTCCATTAGCTATGGCAAATCTAGACAGCATACTAAAAAGCAGAGACATCACGCTGCCAACAAAAGTGTGAATAGTCAAGGCTGTGGTTTTCCCAGTTGCAATGTATGGCTGTGAAAGTTGGACCGTAAGGAGGGCTGAGCGCCGAAGGATTCAGGCCTTTGAACTGTGGTGCTGGAGGAGACTCCTGCGAGTCTCTTGGACTGCAAGGCAATCAAACCGGTCAGTCCTAGAAGAGATCAGCCCTGACTGCTCTTTAGAAGGCCAGATACTGAAGATGAAACTCAAATACTTTAGCCACTTAATGAGAAGGAAGGACTCCCTGGAGAAGATCCTAATGCTGGGAAAAATAGATGGCAAAAGAAGAAGGGATGGCAGAGAATGAGGTGGCTGGATGGAGTCACTGAAGCAGTCAGTGTGAGCTTAAGTGGACTCCAGGGGATGGTGGAGGACAGGAGAGCCTGAAGGAATGTTGTCCATGGGGTTGCGATGGGTCGGACATGACTTTGTGACTAAAAACAACAACAACAAAATCAATAGAGGGCTTTTCTGCTCTTTTTTTGTCCTTGCATGGTGGGGTGATGGTTGCAACTGGGGAAGGTAATTATTTGTGGCTTGCAGGAACTAAATTTTCCAATTCAGTGTTTTCAGCCCTGATGAATCCACACATGTACACTGTAACAAAAAACAAACAAACAGGTGCACAAGACTCATGTTTCTTACCTCAATATATGGAAATCTTTTTGTCTGCGAATTAAAGCCTTTCTTCTCAGAGCTAGGAATCCACTGAGTATGGAATTTGACAGGAATGGAGGAATAATGGTATCCTAAAAAGGGAAATCAGTGACATTACATTTATTCTCTTTGGGTTTCCTCACATGTGACATGACTAATTTGGCATGGTTCAACGATGCAGCATGCAGAGATTTTCCCATTTTATTTTGCTTAGGAAGAAATGGGTGACAACGCTGTGATGATGTCATTGCTGTGTAATCTTTCATGAAGCACCTGTTTCTTGGACAGTGCAATCCTGTCACCCTCCAGGCAGCATTTAGGGGGCCATAAGATTTTTGGAGTCCCAGCTCCAACACTGGAAAATCACTTTGATGCTGCAACCAGGATGTTCTGCTCAGAGTGTCCCTCTGCGGCAGGTGTGGGAAGAACCACACACGTTGCTTCTCTGAGCATGCAAAAGCAGGTGGCCCAAGGGGTGGGGAAGGGAATAGACCGGTGCCACTAAGATACAATCGTGAAAACAAGAAATGTACTTGATTTTACATGTAATTACTGCGGTGAGGATTGCATTTGCTCAACACTGGAAAAGTGAAGAACCACCCACCGATGAATTGATCCTAAAAAAGATCTTGCACTGTGCAGAAATGGATAGATTGACTTTGTCATTGAAGGAGAAAGAAGATACTGATTTCTATCAAACTTGGGACTCTTTTTATTATTGGCTAGAGAAATGAATACGGGACTTCATATAGAATTAAATATGTTTTTAAGTTATCATAAATAGAAAAAAATGTGGGGGACCCAGCAGACCTGATGTTTCTGATGATTGATGTTGTTTTTAGTTTTTCTTTGTTTTAGGGTTATTTTGAATAAAACATATAAAAAAAGATAGAATGGTGGGACCTCAGCCTCCTCCCCCCCTGCTCTGCAGCACTGCAATTATGCAGCCAAAATCGGCAATCTAGCTGCTTTTCAGTGTGGGAGCAGCATGGAGGCAATCTTTGCCTCAGCCCTTCCCCTGCCCTGTAGAAGATGCCAGTAATCCTCAGAGTGCAGAGGGTTTGGGGCATCCCCATTGAATAGTACCCCAAATGAAGTACTTTGGACCTGGTCTATCCATGCAGAAGAGTGACATGGCAGAAAATACTGTACTTAAAAACATAGAAACAGAGCGAGTCAAAAGGGGCCTCCGGGGCCATCTAGTCTGACCTCCGGCACCAGCCGGCTCTGCTCATGACATGCCCACCATGTGGACATCCAGCCTATCCTTGAACACCTGCACCGATGGGGCCTCAACGACCTCTCATGGAAGCCCATTCCACACCCTCAGGGTCCCGACTGTCAGGAAGTGCTTCCTGGCATCTAAATGGAACCTTGGCTGCCTGAGCTTTGCTCCGTTGGAGCACGTCCTGCCTTCCTCTGCAGGGGAGAACAGGTCTCTACCCATCTCCATGTGACATCCCCTCACATACCTGTATGTTGCCAACAGATCCCCTCAGAGTCTCCTCTTCTCCAGGCTGAAGAGACCCAGTTCCCTCAGTCTCGCCTCATACCCCATCCCCTGCAAACCGGCCACCAACCTTGTGGCCCTACGTTGCACTGACTCTAACCTGGCTATATCCTTTCTGTAATGAGGGGCCCAGAACTGAGCACAATACTCCAGTTGCGGGCGCACTAGAGTCATGTACAGTGGCAGTAATACCTCTCTCGATCTAGAAGCCACACTTCTGGCTATGCAACCAAGGGTGGCGTTTGCCCTCTTGACCACCACATCACACTGCTGACTCATGTTTAGCCTGCAGTCAACCAGCACCCCGAGGTGCCTTTCACAAGTGCTGCTCTCCAGCCACTTGTCACCTAACCTGTACTTATGACAGCTATTCCTATGCCCCAAGTGCAAGACCTTGCACTTATCCACATTGAACACCATCCTGTTGTCTCCTGCCCACTTCCATAGTCTGTCCAGATCCTTTTGGATCTGGAGTACCTGCTCCTCAGTTGTGGCCACTGCTCCAGTTTTAGTGTCGTCTGCGAATTTGATCAGCAGACTATTCACCCCTTCTTCCATGTCATTAATGAAAAGATTAAACAGGATCGGCCCCAGGACAGAGCCCTGGGCGACCCGGCCTGTCACTGGCCACCATCCTGATGATTCCCCATTAATGGTTACCTTCTGCTTTTGGTCAGTCAACCATGCCCTAATCCACCGGACAGTGCTTTGGTGTATCCCAAAACTCCTCAGTTTCTCCACCAGGATATCATGGGGCACTTTGTCAAAGGCCTTGCTGAAATCCAGGTATACCACATCCACTGCATCCCCTCCATCTAGCCATCTCGAAACCTTGTCATAGAATTCCACAAGGTTTGTCTGGCAGGACCTGTTTTTGCGGAAGCCGTGTTGTGCGGCTGTCAGCCTCCCTTCCCTATCTAGCATCACTAGATCTCTCTCTATTCCTTTCCATTGTTTTTCCTTCAATGGACGTAAGGCTAACCGGTCTATAATTCCCCATGTCCCTTCTACTACCCTTTTTGGAAATTGGGACCACTGATGCCACCCTCCAGTCCTCTGGAACTTCACCCATTCTCCATGAGGCCTCAAAAATGAAGGCCAGCAGGTGTGAGAGAACCCCTGCCAACTCTCTAAGTACTCTCGGGTGTAACCTGTCAGGGCCTGGTGCCTTTGCAATGTCCAATGCCCTGAGGAGCCCCTCTACTTCAAGGGGGGGGGGGTGACTCTAATCTGTGCCCCTAAGTCCCCAGCTTCATCTAATCTCCTATGCGGATCTCCCCCGTCCTGCTTTGGGGAGAACACAGAGGCAAAATAGTCATTTAGCATCTGTGCCTGTTCCCTCATATCAGTCACTGGATCTCCTTCCTCCTTATTTAGTGGTCCCACCACTTGTCTCCCCTTCCTCTTCCTATTTACATGCTGAAAGAAGCCCTTTTTGTTGCTCTTGATATTCTTGGCAAGTCTCAGCTCGTAATCAGCCTTAGCCTTGCGAGGAATCCTTCTGCAAGGGGCCTCCTCCTCCCGGTATACCCTTTTGTCTATTTGCCCCAGTTCCCATTTCCTACGGAGGTTCCTCTTTCGTCTAATCCCTCTAACCACCTCCTTTCGTATCCATGGCGGCACTCTCCTCCGCCTCCCCACCTTACTGACTAGAGGTATTGTCAAGGCTTGCGCCTCCAAAACCTCCCTTTTGAGTGCCATCCACCCCTCCTCAACTTGCTTACCTTCCTGTAACCTATCCCAGGAGACTTTCCTCAGTCTGGCCTTCAGTTGGCCAAAGTTGGCCCTCTTGAAGTCCCAGCTTCTAGTGCTTGACCTGCTGCATGTCCCCAGTCCCCTGATCTCAAAGCAAAGGATGGAGTGATCACTCGCATCCAGAGCTCCCCTAATCTGTACTTCATCTATCAGCTCCTCCCTATTGGTCAAGACCAAGTCAAGGATGTTTCCCCCCCTTGTCGCCTCTTGGACCCTCAGTGTGAAAAACCCTCCCTCTATAGCTTCTAGGAAGCGATGTGACCTGGCTGTCACTGCCGAGTGAGTCTCCCAAGTAATATCTGGGAGACTGAAATCTCCCATAATTACTGTGTCTCTCCCCCGAGATATCCTTAGAATCTGGCCTGTCAGGACATCCTCCAGGGTCTCAAGTTGACCTGGAGGGCGATAACATGCCCCCACTGTCAGGTCTCTTTCCCTGTCAAAACCCCTAAGTTTCACCCAGACTGCTTCTACCGATCCCCATCTGTGCTGCATTCTATCTCACTGCATCCTATCCCTTCCCTGACGTAAAAAGTCACACCCCCACCCCTTTCCCTTCCCGTCCTTTCTAAAAAGGTGATACCCTTCTATGTTCACATTCCAGACTTGCCTTTCATCCCACCAAGTTTCTGTGATTCCCACCAGGCCATACCCTCCTATTCCCATGAGAGCTTCAAGCTCTTCCTGCTTATTACCCATGCTCCTAGCATTGGTGTACATGCACCTCAGCTCCTTCCCACCGCTTCCCTTCCTTGGAGTTCCCAGCCTCCTCCTTCCTCCCATCCTCCCTGATACCTGGCCCCTCTCTGGAGGAGTCCTGTCAGTCCCTGCAGTACCTCTAAAACCCTGCTCCCAGAGCCCTGATCCTCCCCCCACACTTGTCCAGTGCAGACATGTTACTGGGGGGCCTGACACACCCCCCCGGCTCAGTTTAAAGTCTTCCGGACGAAGCTCGCTAGAGCATCTCCAAAGGACCTTTTCCCCATCCTCGTGTAACCCATCCCTTGCCAGAAGTCCATTGGCAAGAAACCGAGTGCCGTGGTCGAGGAACCTGAAGCGTTCCTTCTGGCACCACACCCTAAGCCAGTCGTTCACCTCGGGGGGCCCCCTGTCCCTTCCTGGCCCAAATCCCCGGACTGGTAAGATTGACGAGAAGGCCACTTGGGCCTTGAGCTCCCTGACCTACTTCTTGTAGGTGGACATTCACATTGTAACGCTTCTCCATGTATGACACGGATGAAGGTGTCTTCCAAATTGGCAACTCCTCTGCTTGGTACCTACCAAGTGCCTCTTCATTGTGAGTTGTCCAGAGTCCATTCCTTACCTTTTGGCACACTTTCAGGATATGAATTAGGGGTGCCCTTCCTTTTGACTTTGCCCGCTGAGCCATATGTTTCAAAGTTGGTCGCCATGTCACATAACTACTGCTAGCCAGATGAAAAATGGCATCTTCTCAGATTTTCTATTTTCTTTCTAAAACATGAATACATGTAGTACCTTTAAAACCAACAGATTTTTTTTATTCTGGAAAACTAAATAATGTGGCATAAGAAAAGGAACATTTTTTGGATTAGAATTGCAATATCACTTAATTAAACAATTACTGTCAATTGAAAAGAAAAGAAAAAGCTGCCAAAATGTCAAATATGCCATCTTGTCAAGAATACCCTTATATAAGTAGCAATGTACCTTTTATTTATTTACTTGCAATATTTTTACCCCATCCTATACAAACATCCCAGGACAGTTTACAACATAAATTTATTTATTTATTTATTTAAAACATTTCTATGCCGCCCCATTCGCCGAGGCCTCGGGGCGGTTCACAACATAAATTAAAATATAATACATTAAAAATATAAAACAAATTAACAATATAAAATAAGTCGCCCTTAATATAAGTCGCCTAAATCATAACAATAATTAAATACAACAAAATACAATAACATAACAAGCATAACAGAATGTGACTGAGGATGACCATATTAAAAACCAAGTTAAAATATTTAAATATTAAGATACTGGGCAAATTAAAAAGGTTTTTACCTGGCACTGAATGGAATATAATGTTGGCGCCAGGCGAACCTCTCTGGGGAGTGCATTCCATAGTCAGGGCGCCACCGCAGAGAAGGCCCTCCTCCGGGTACTCTGTCTCCTAATCTCCTTCGAGGAGGGTTCCCGGAGCAGGGCCTCTGCTGCAGATCTTAAGGGGCGGGAGTGCATATAGGGAAGAATACGTAGGGCATATAGGTACATCATACAAACAGCAACCTCCTGTGCTACAATTCTAATAAATGAATGGTTTTGTACTTGATTATATTGCCCACTGGATGTGCAAGTTTTTGTTTCTATATTCAAATGCCAGCTCTGATCTTTACTTTTACAGACACCTTCCTTGCTTATATTTTAGAGCAGTCTTTTAATCTAGGCCATTCCATTAATTTGGGAATATCCTTGCCAGATCTACTGGTACTACACCCATAAATGAGAGGCAAGGAACCACCATGACTTCCCCGCTTCTGTGTACTGGTGATGCTAAGACTGATGGTGGGGCGAGATGAATAAGCTGATGGCCACTGAAAGCCAGTGGTTAGAATTCTGGACAAGCACTGGGGAGACCCAGGTTTGAGTGCGCATTCAGCCATGAAGCCAGTCCTCACAGGGCTGTTGTGATGACAACATGGAGGAAACTTTCCTCCAAGGATACCACCTTGGGATCTTTGGAGGAAAGGTAATATATAAATATAATCATTAAAATAATTTGTTTTTACTGTAGGACCTTCTGTGATACATGTCAGATTCAGGCCTCAGCAGCTACAGAAGAACTGCCAAGCTGCCCAGGGCCAGAAACAATTGCACAGTCCAGCCAGGTAGGGCTAAGTTCCAAAGAGATCAGACCCAGGGGCCGGACAAAGGAGAACAAAGATTTGCATAAACCTGTGCCTGTGTGTTAATCTATATGCATACATGTGAGTTTAGAAATAATTAAAATTGAACCTGAAACTTACCTGTGTGGAACACTGTAGCCAGGTGTCCCTGCCTGATCAGATTGCTATGTGGGTGCTGAGTGTGGGTAGGCAGCAGTTCTTGTGCTGCTTTCTCCTTAACCTGCACTTTGGTGGGGCAGTCTTTTCACGGGGACACCTTCAAATAGAGGATGGTGCTCTGACAGGTCTTCAGACAGGGGCATTCCTCAGTAAAGAGGCCATCCCACCTGCCTGCTGATTGTGGGGACACAGCTCCCCACTTAACAAAGAGATCCAGTGTGGTGCAGTGGTCAAGAGCATAGGTCTGGGACTCAGGTGATCTGGGTTCTAGTCCCCACTCAGCCATGGAGCCCACCAGGTGACAGTCACAAATTCTCAATCCAGCCTACCTCATAGCATTGTTGTTGTGACCAAGAGGAGGAAGAGGAAAATAACATAAGCTGCTTTGTGTTCTTTAAAAAAGAGAAGGCAGGATATAAATCTAATGAATAAACAGCTTCACAGGATGACTATGAAGCCAAGGAAAGAAGATTAGGAAGCTTCTGAAAGCATGTGGTCAAACCTGGCAGAAAAACAGGGTCTGGGAATCACATCTCCCTAACTTTGGGGTAACCTGGTCCTGTCCATGGGATTAACATTTTTGGTGTTCTGCTCACACAACATCAGGCTAGAGCAGCATACCCCAACCCAGCACTCTCCACATGCATCGAACTTCATCCCACCAATGGGCCTTATAGTTGGGAATGATGGGGCTTGCAGAGATCTGCAAGGGGCTGGTTTGGGGAAGGCTGGAGCAGTATAAGTCAAACAGTACTACTGGAGTCCTGCACAAACAACTTGGGACCGGGTTATCTGGCAGACTGCCTTCCCTTATATATACCCAACAGATTTTTAAGATAATCAGCGAAGGTCTTACTAACCATTCCAAAATTATTGGAATGACACCATGTAACTTAGACAATGGGTCTTCCTGGTGGTGCATCCACCCTATAGAGAAAATTTCCTCAAGTGGTTCAGGAGGCAGAAAATGTGGTGTCTTTCAAAACACCTCCTAAATTGCACGTGTTTATCCTGGTTTTCCATGACTTGTAATTAAATTAACCATGCTGCTCCTCTGCACTGTTCCTGTACTGTAGCCTCAGCTACTGGGCAGTAAAAAAATGAATGTATAAAATTACTGCAATTGGAACTGTGTTTTTCAAACTATATTTTTAATTTGATTTTAACACGAATGTTTTAAATGCGATTTTATTGTGTGTATGTGAGCCACTTATTTTCTTTAACTACTTAGCACTATAGAAAGGAAAGCTGCCAGTAAGAAAGTTGATGTATTTGAAACATGGTGCTGGGAGAGAGCTTTGCAATACCTTGGGCTGAAAGATGAACACGTGAGCCCAAAATCAAATCAAGCCAGAACTTTCCCTAGAAGCAAAAAGGACCAAAAAAGCTATTGTGCTTCGGGCACATCATGTGAAGGCAAGATTCACTGGGGAAGACTATAATGCCAGGGACGTCAAAGCAGAGGAAGAGGAAATAGGAGATGGATGGATTCCACTGGGCAGCCACAGCCTTTAGTTTACAGGAGGTGAACAGGGCTGTGAAGAATAAGGCATCTTGGAGGGTCTCCATTCATAGGGTCGCCATAAGCCAAAGATGACTTGAGGGCACATAGCAGCGACCGTGTAGAAATATTACCAATAAATGAACAAATACTTCCAGGGCTAAACAGGCGAAGCCACCTTGCCTTTGCATTTTGCAGGGCTGACCTCAACAGAGCAGGAAGCAACGCTGGAAAATCAATCGCTGCTGTTCTGAGCTCGAGGGCTAAATGGTCCTTTTAGGGTTCTTTGTCCTTTTTTAAGACCCCAAGCGGTCTCTCGTCTCTCAGCGCACCTTGGCGCTTGCTGGGCTCGCCCGCCCTTACCTGGCTCCGAGGTCCGCCCTAGCCGAGCATCCGGAGAAAGTTTGAACCTGTTGCCTGGGCAACAAAGAGAACCAATTTCTCTTCTCCTCCAGTCACGTTGTCTGTCACTTCGGGGAGCCAAAATTAGCCAATCACAGGGAAGCTCTCTCTAGCTGCCTTTTGCTCCCCAGTGTGCGGTGAAGCCAAGTTTGAAGGCTTAGCAGTTTCGGTTGCTCGCGTCTTTTGCTTAAGGAGGCGAAGGCGATGGCTTCTCTTTGAAGATGATTTGCAAACTTCCTTCTCCTTCATGATAACGGTTGAGATGAAACACTCTGAGCTTCTCACCGTCCTCTTTTGTCCTCACTATGACAAAGGACCTGCAATTCTTTCTCATTAAAAAGTGGCATTTCAAAATTTCCTTCCAGAGAGAAAAACAACATTTCCTCTGAAAATGTAAAGAGCGCTTCCCCTTTCCTTGTGCTTATTTTGCATGCAATGAAGCGTCCCTGCCATTGTCACCGCATGCTTCGTTGCACTTGATTTCCCTCAGGGTTCACCATTTCTCTCTACACACCCTTGTGCACTAAATATGTGTCAATACTTCATTCATCTGTGCTTGCGAAAAACGTTTATTTCCCCTCAAGTTGACTGTGAAATGGAGGGAGCTGCGGGGATTTTTTTCGGTCTAAATATGCTTAGGATGGCATCCTAAATTGCAAGCAACCAGAAGGGTCTGTAGCGTCTTCCACGAGATGGCTGAATCAGGAGTAGGACGATGGAAGTCTTCCAGATATTTTGGACAGCTCCCGTCACCGTAGTCCAAAAATCTGAAGGGCACCGGGGCGCTTATCCTCAGCTTTCAACGCGTCATGCCCGACTGTGACCATTGGACGCCACTGCACAAGCAAGCGAGCGTGCTGTTCGTTCCGCAATTGCGCCGAGCCTTGCGCAGTCCGAGCAAGCTCTGCCGGTTGCCGCAGGAGACTCCCGGCTCGGCTCGGCCCGGCCCGGCCCTGCCTTTCTCCGGGCCAGCCAGTCTCCTGCACGAGCCAGGTTTCCGGGGCGGTGAGCGGCAGCTTCCGGATCAAATCGGACGCTTGTTTTGGAAAAGCAAGAACGCAGCTCGGAGCAGGACCGTTCTGGGCGATTTTTGCTCGCGGCTTGCCAGACGTTTCGGTTTGCAAAGGAGGCACCGGCGGTCCCTTCCGCGGGAAACGGGAACAAGTGAGTGGTGGGCTGGTGGGCGGCGGTGGGCTGGGTAAAGCAGGCAGCATTTTGGCCTGGGAAGCAGACAGAAACAAGCACCTTGAATGCGCGATTTCCTATTTTCCAAGGATGTTTTCGATGGTATTTAACATTCTCGTTCTGCCTACTGGATTAGACTGAGCCCCTTTAAAAAACTATATAAAAATAGACGACCTGTCACTTTGTTGGTGGAGAACAAGCTTTGCATCCAAGGAAAAGTTAAATGTAGGTTTTTATATCAAACAGGAACTAAGGTGGAAACGCTTGCCACTCTTTCTTTCCTCCCTTCGGTTTAATTTGACCTTTCGAGAAATTCTCATAATGCAAATCAAGACATGTATTGTGGCATATGCTTCTGTGGGCCCACAGCAATCTTCATCGTTGTCGAAGGCTGTCCATTACAAAAACTGACACCAAAATTAACGTGTTAGCTTTTAAGGTGCCACGACACCGTCTGTGTAGTTTTTGCTGCAATAGGCTATGATGCTTACTCTCTTGAAATTATCATCAAGTTGTTCACATGCAGGTCATTTCCAGAAGAAAATACAGCTGTTTGCTTGTTTGTAGCTTGTACAGTACCTTACAGCAGCCTTCACCAGCCTGCCCCCATGTGTTGGACTACAACCACCATCATCTCTGACCAGCATGACCAGAGATGCATTTTCATCCAACAAATGAGGAGGGTGCTAGGCTGGGGCAGATTAGAGTGCAGTCCTTTGCACATTTAGGCAGAAAAAGGTCTGTCTACATAGGAGTGTATGTTTCAAGATTTAACAAGACTGACTGTCTTTTATGGACCAGAATTTCAATGATGATGTGCAAGGGCATCAAGTGGGGTAGCTAATGGCATAAATGTGTCTCTGCAGGTGTAATTTGAGTATTGAGAAGAAGACAGTGGTGTATGTATGAAATTGAGCTAAACTGTGTGGGCAATTTGTGGCTCTCCACATGTTTCAGCTGACAACAGCTGTCATCGTTCAGCACTGGCTATGCTGGTCAGGGCGGATGGGAGTTGTAGGCCAAAGAATGTGAAGGCTGCAAGTTGCCTGTGAAGGCGGAGCAATGCCTGAGAGAAGAGTATGTGTGTATCTAAGTTCTGTGCAGGACACACATGAGACACCCAGTGCTGGTGCTTGTGTCAGGTTTTGGAGGGTCCCTGCCCGCCTTCCACAGCGAGGCACTGCCACGCCGCTCGTCCTTTTCTCCTCATGGCACCACTGGCTCGCTTGATGGGCATCCCTGCTCCCTCCCCCACTGTCTGAGCTGGAATGAGCAGCAGGTGAACAAGCAGGTTCCAAGGAGAGGAGGAGCAGGCCCCGCACACCTTTGCCATTGGACTCGCAGGGCTGGCCTGGGAGGTGCTTGGCTGGCCAGGTCTGCTCACATGAATGGCATTGCTCACTTGTATTCCTGAATGCAGCAGGATTTGCATGTGCAGGTGTTTCCAGACAGAGGACTCCTTGCAGAAACAGTCAGTCCTGTCTTTTCTCATATAACCAAAGAGGTGGTGGCAGGACATTAAACAGCAAAGTCGCAAAGTCGTGCCTGTCCCATCACAACCCCATGGACATTCCTCCAGGCTCTCTGGTGGGAGGGAGGACATGGAAGGCTATAAACATAGTGCTGATGACAGTGATTACATTGTGTTTACATCCTGCCTTTTTTTCCTCTTGTGATGAACCTAAAATGGCTTGCAAAGCTCCACTTTGGCCTCACAGCAACAGCCCTGTGAGGTTGGTTGGGCTAAGAGTCTGTGACTGGCCCAAAGTCACCCAGTAAGCTCCATGACTGAGTGGGGACTAGAACCCCATTTTCCTGAGTCTCTTTTGTGCTCTTTTAACCACTACCCCTAGACTAGAATCCAGTCTGCCTTGGTTTTCAGTCCAGGTTAAGGGTGCCATAAAAACCTCATCTAGAAACACCATAAGGATGTGTGCCAAAAATTTTCTGGAAAGCGTTTGTGACCCAGAACGCTCAGTTGCTTTCCAGGCATCCTATAATGAAACATTCCAAAAGCGGTGGCGATGGAGTCTGCATTTGGTACGTTATGTAGTGTGAAGGAGTGAAACTTGAGCAAGATGGAGGCTTTGGAACTGTGTCTTGAGAAACACCTTGAAAGTTGTATGGCTTTGAGAGGAGATGGGACAAAATCATGGAGGAGGAAGTGGCCAGTGGCCACCAGCCTTGCTGGCTATGTGCAGCCTCCATTATGTGAGATAGTGTGCTTGCGTACACCAGCTGCCAGGGAGCCTGGGCAGGCAGAGAGTCCTTGCACCCATCCTGCCTGAGGGATCCTGTGGGCAGCTGGATTGTCACTGTGTGAACAGAGTGCAGGACTTGATGGGCGTTGGGTCTGATTCAGTGTGGCTTCTCTCATGTTTTTATGGCTTGGGTGTTGAGGCAAGGATTGTGCATAAATTCCCAAAGGTGTAGTCAGTGCTGTTACAACAGCGTGCAGGCTTGTGATGTCAGGACGGATCTGTGGTTTTTTATGATGCAAACTTGGACCGGCAATTATTGACTGACCCGTATCAGCCGCAGCGTGGAATTTTGACCTAGGGAGGGGCAGGCATTCGGTGAATCATGCTGGCTTCCCTGTTATTCCCCGTGTGATAAGGGTGGGGTGGTGGGCTTACCTGGTGCATGCAATTGAAATAGCCTAGCTAGCATCCCCTAACCAGGCACCCAGCCACTTGCTTGTCTTGCCTGGGGCTGCTGGGAGTTGTAGTCCAGAACATCTGGCCCAACTTCTCCAGTCTGCTGCTCTCAGGCTGTGTTGATTATTTCTTTGGGTATAGAGAGAGTTGTAGTCCAAATGCATTTGGAGGGAACCAGGTAAGGGGAAGACCGACCTGGAGGCTGCCAGGTTGGGGACGCATTACCTAGAATAAAGTGCAGCACACAAGGAGCATTTCCCCGTTTTCCAGTTAAGATGCAAATTGAATCCCACCCTCTGGTATTCCAGTGAATGTGTGCAAAGTTTCAGTTGTTGTGATGCAATGTCTTGGTTGTATTTGAAATTATTTAATACACGGCATTCATTTGCGCCCCTTGGACCGTTTGAGAGCTGTTCAGCATTTGGAGGGCAACAAGTCCTTGGAAGGCAAGTCGGGCCGTCTGTGGGTTGATGTTTGTGGCCAAAACCCTGATTCTGCTTCTGGGAATTTCTCTGTGCAGCCGTTGAGTGGCGCAAGGCCCGTACACTTAAAAACCTCGTAGCACTGCAGCTGCAAATGCAGGCGAGCTGCGCTTTGCCATCGTACGTTTAATAGGTCACCTTCGACCGGCAGTCCTTTGTACCCAGTGGGACTGTAAGGCAGCAGCTGAGGGAAGAACAGCTGTCAGGGGCCAGGGAAGGCTGTGGCCTGTTTACCAGGGTGTACCGCTTGCAGCTGAGCTGCCGCCGCCGGAGTGGCACCGCTTGTCTTCCAGCAGCTATTATTAAGTGGCAAGAGGGGGAGTTCAAGGGAAAGGCACTGGCAGCGGGTGTGAACTGTAAAGGATAATCCTGGTCAGTGTTGTAAGGCTGTTGTAAGGATTGCAAGATGCTGCTTTTACTTAAAGGAAGTGGTATTCGGCCTTTTGGTGCTAGGACCAAGGCCGATTTACAAACAGAAGCAAAAGCAGTGGTCCTGCAGTGTTGCAGGTGAAAAGTAACCTGAAATAGCAATAGTGTTGCTGGCTAGGATGTGTGGGGAGGATGGGACTTCTGGTTCCAACGCAGCCAGAGGGTACTAGGTAAGGAAAGGCTGCCTTATTGTTTTGCTGGTTCTTGAACTATTTCATCATGTTGTACCTTCCTCCCGCTCTGGCCACACTCTTTAAAAATAGTGATTTTTTTCTCCTGCTTTTCTGCTCTTTTTTTGAGCTACTTTGGAGTCTGCTGCTTACTTTTCAGTGGAAAAAAATCAATATTTGAAACAATAGGAAGTCTTGGATCTTCAGAGTGCTTCGTGTATATTACCTTGGCATTACTTTTCACCAGACTTGCATGGTGAGTCGTTGAAGGTGGGGTACTGCTATTTAAGACCAGCAAACAGATCCAGCTTCCCATGAGCAGACTCTCAAAAGCGTCAGAGTCGGACACAGTGTGCTGGGGCTTACTGGGCTCTCCATAACCCACTGCTAGCTGAAGCGCTTGCTGGTCATGTGCTGGGGCCATCATGAATAGGCAGCTGGGGATGTGCTGTGTCATACAAACCCAGACACAATGAGTTCTTTGAAGGTCAAACTTGGTTTGTAGTATGTCCTGTAAGTTTGGTTGAAACTTCAAAGGCGGCTGGGTTTGGATGAGTTGCTGCGACCCCACGGCTGTTGCGACAGCCACACACATGTGGCATTTTGTCATGGGTTAAAGGACCCATCATGACCTGCCTGCTCACCGCTTTAGGTATGGCCTTACCTTGGTAGACACCTATAGTCTCACCCTGTTCTGCAGTGGGGCTGCCCCACACAAGTTTGAGTGGACAGGCAATATCACACCATCCTTTGGTCCACTAATTTCCTTTATATTCAGACTCGGTGCACTGCAAAACTGTGGTCTGCCTGGCACCAACCCTCTATTCCTTTCGGCGCCAGGTAAAGACCTTTTTATTTAATTTCCATTTTCACAACTATTATTTTATTAATATTGGTAATTTATATACAGTTGCATTTTATTTTTATTACTTTATTAATTAAGAGAGGATATATTGGAATGTTTTATACTATTTATATATTGTTATTTATTGTGGAATTTTATTCATGTAAGCTCTCCTGAGGCTTTTGCAAAGGACGGCATACAAACGGCTGAAACAAACAAACAAACAAACAAACAAGGTCTGGCTGGGGAAGTCTGCCTCTAGTGGCTGAAGATGTTAATATTAATATTAAATGAATTAATATTAATTAATGTGTTTTGAAAACAAAAAAACCCCAAGGTATGTTCTGCTCTGGTCTACTTAGTAAGCATGCTAAGTTTCGGGTGCCTAAGGTTTGTGTTCTTACAGCTGTGGTGGTGACAGACAGACAGACACACATTCTCTTTTACTGTGATAGATCAGTGGGAGGGATACATTAAGAGTGTGGTGGCTGAATGAAGGGCAAGTTTGTGGCCGAGGTGAGAATTTGAGCCAGTCATGCGCTCTGGTTTCGATGCTGCCTTGGCGCATGAGAGAACTATTGAGAAACATCAGCTTATCAGAGCCATCAGGTCATTGGTGCAGCTTTCTAGGGTGGCCCTCTCAACCACACGCCCCTCCCTTCTTGTGTTTTTATCTTCCTAGTGGAAGAGGAGTGACCACGAACAAGGAACCCAGGTCTCAGCACTTCACAGCTGTCCTATAGCTCTGCAGAAGCAAAATGGAGAGGAGGAGCAACATGGACCCTGCCATCCTCTGGTTGATCTGAAGCGATTCTGCAGTTCTTGACACGAGCTGGACACACTGGAACGGGAATGCATGAATAAAACAAAATGGAAAGAGCGAACGGGCCTGCTCTGCAGCTCCAGCCACTTGCCACCGAGACGCCGCCCCTGCTGGTCCTTGAGGATTCCTTCTCTTACAAAGTAGAACTTGTTTGTCATCCAGTATTTTTTTCATTCTGAAGCAGCTTTTCCCAACCTGGGGCCCTTTAGATGTGCTGGACTTGGATCCCCAGCTCTGCTGAGCCGGCAGGAGTTGCCGGCAAGCACACCTGGAGAGCACCAGGTTGGGGAGGGCTGGTCGCCAGTGATGTGGGCACAGCCAAGAGCTCTCTGTCCTTGCTCGCTTGCTTAAGTGGGAATGCAAGTGTGAGCTGCTGTGCAACATATAAAATTAACATTACATTTTGTAAGCAGAATTAAGAAGGGATGTCAAATGTGTTTGCAATCACCTGATCTCGCCATTGATGAGCAATTTTCTGATTCAAAATATCCCAGAAAGCTCTCCTGGCTGGCAAAAAGCAAGATCTCTTCTCCTTACAGTTCTGTGCAGTTTGTGGAGAACTCTGCAGTGGCGTGAGCGTTTGCTCCCAGCTGTGGGAAGGAGTGGTAGTCTTGAGTTGGGGGGAGCTACGCTTTCCTATGGGTGGCAACAGAACGTGAGGCCCCCGTGACAGACTTACTACTAAACATTATTCATCTGGCAAGCCGGTTTGCCTCATGGACACCCTGGTTAAAGTTAATTCCTGTGTGCTTTCCTTTCTTGCAGGAAAACTTGATCGGTGCATTGCTGGCTATTTTTGGGCATCTAGTTATCAGTATTGCCCTGAATCTCCAGGTAAATAGAAGGGAACAGAAAAAATCCCTTGCAGATTCCCCAGAAGAAATGTCTGCAGCCTAAATCCCAAAATTTCCTTTTGTTGCTTTCTCCTTTTCCTAGAAGTATAGCCATCTTCGTTTGGTGGGGTGTAAGGACCACCGGGCCTACTTCAAGACCAAGACATGGTGGTGCGGCCTCTTCCTGCTTTTCCTGGGGGAACTGGGAGTCTTCTCTGCCTATGCCTTTGCGCCCCTTTCCCTGATTGTGCCACTGGGTGCAGTGTCCGTCATAGGTAAGTCTCTCTGCCTATACTGTTCTTTCATTTGAAAAACTTATACGGCAGCCTGGTGCCCTGCAGGTGTTTTGGACCGCAACTCCCAGCAGTCTCGAACACTGGCTGTGCTGGTTGGAGCTGATGGAAGCTGAGGTCCAAGCCATCTGCAGGGCACAGGGCTGGACACAGCATATGGGAAGAGAAAATGGGGCACTGGAGACCCGGGGTGCCTCCTGTCTTAAATGGAAGGCTAACAAAGCACCCCTCACTGGGGTGGGCAGCATGTCTGCAGAGAAGCGTGCCGGCTGAGTGTCGCCTCTGCAGCGAAGTCGCCAGGTAACCTTGGGCAAACTGCTTTCAGCTCAAGCCTTCGTTTGCAATATTTTATTTATTTATTTATTTATTTTCCGATTTATACCCTGCCTTTTTCCTACAAAGGGCTCAAGGCAGCTTACATCATTCTCCTCCCCACATCTTATCCCCACAGCAACAACCCTGTGAGGGAGGCTGGGCTGAGAGTCTGTGACTGGCCCAAAGTCACCCAGTGGGCTCCATGGCTGAGCGAGGACTAGAACCCAGATCATCTGAGTCCCAGTCCCAGGCTCTTAACCACAACACCGCACTGGCTCTGTTATATGGGGATAACAGTGTGGCCTACCTGAGAGGGTTGGTTTTGAGGGCTCGAGCAAGATTCTGTCCTTATTACATTTATTTACTGCTTTTTCCCAAGGATACTTTTCTCCCTTCTAACCACATAAGGAGCGCTGCACGAGATCGGACCAAGGGTCCGTCTAGCCCAGCCTTTTGTTCTTACGGTGGCCCAAAGGGCAGGACGTGCAGCAGCTCCTTCCTGCCCGTGTTTCCCAGCAACTGGGATACAGGCAAGCTCCTCTTATCCTGGAGATCGCATATGGCCACCAGGAGCCCTCCTGGCTCTCTGCCCTGGGATGCAAGCGGCAGGGGCCTGCTGCTGGAGTCCCAGGACCGAGGGTGCTGCAGGCTGGTGGCGGGCTGGGTGAGGTGTGGCAGGGCCAGGTGCAGAAGCATGGTCAGCTGCACCCGCAGGTGAAGGCAGAGCCGAGGTTAGGGCAAGGCAGGGCCAGGCGCCTGGCTAAGCATGGTGACACCAAAGGAGAGGCAAGGATCGGATCGATACCTGTGCAAAGGTGTGTTGGACCAGAGGCAAGGCAGGATTGGGAGCAAGCAGGAGCCAAGGCATGGGCGACGACCTTGCAGGACCGGAGGCAGAAGCCAGATCAGGATGGCAAAAGAGCCACCACAAAAGCTCGTGTTGCTGTGTCAAAACGTGGCGGGGCTGCGGGGCTTTCCATGGCACCCTGTGCCTCCTGGCTGGTCCCCATGACTCCAGTGGCTCAAATCCCTGCAAGCATCCGCAGGCCTGATGCCATCAGCAGCCCAGGAGCAGGGGAGCTGTAGTCCAAGACATGTAGGGAACGCTGTGCTGTCTGTACCTGCACTTATGAGAGTGCGATGGACAGCCAGGGTGGCGCAGTGGTTCAGAGTGTGGGACTGGGACTCGGGCAACCTGGTTCTAGTCCCCGCTTGGCCGAGGAGCCCACTGGGTGCATTTAGGCCAGCCACTGACTCACAGCCCAGCCTACCTCACAGGGCTGGTAAGATGGAGTAGAGGTGGGTTATATAAGCCACCTGGGGCCCTTGGAGCAAGACAAGAAAAAGGCAGGACTTAAATGTAATGATAAACTATTAAAGAAAGCGCAAGCCCAATAAAACGCTAATCGGTAATCGGCACATCTTGGAAAAGGCCCCACAAATAAGCCAATAATAGTCCAACTGGTATTAGGCATGGTTCTCACTAGTTGTCGCTGTCTTCTTTTTCTTCTTACTCAGCAAGTGCAATTATCGGAGTCATATTCATTAAGGAAAAATGGAAGCCCAAAGACTTCTTGAGTAAGTTCTCAACGCACCTTTCAAAATGTCTCTTCTGCATCCACACTGCAGGCGGGTTTCTGCTCCTGCCCTGTCTTTTGCTTCCTAGCTGCATCCTGCACGTACTGTACAAACCAACAAGAACTGGTTCCTGACACTCCGTGCTAGAATTTCCTGCTGTTCCTACAAATTGCTTTTTCCCCAGTTTCTCAGCTGCTAATTTGTTTGGCGTGGCCTTGTAAGGTCAGGCTAGGATTTGGAAATGCAGAGTGTTAAGTCCTTGAATATGACCAGCACACCGTCCTGCATATAGTTAGTAGTTCTAAGCCACGTTGGCAGCCCAAGAAAAGGAAGGAGAAGGCCTCTCTCCCAGTTTACAGAAGCTGGTCGCCTCACACCCCCAAACACCTGGACTCCATAGATGCTTCAATACTGGGTGGACCTGTGCTTGCAGAAGGCTGACTTAGCCCCCTCCCTGCCACCTACCCCTGCTCTTGCAGGGTATGCCTGTGCCTATAAAGAATGCCAGGCTGCTGTAGGCCTCCTGACTAACCCACTAACACAGCATCTCCTGTCCTTCTGCCAAAGGACGCTATGTTTTGTCCTTCATAGGCTGTGGCTTGGCCATTGTCGGAACATACCTGCTGATCACCTTTGGGCCTAACAGTCACGAGACCATGACGGGCGAGAACATCACCAGGCACTTAGTCAGCTGGCCTTTCCTTCTGTACATGGTAAGGAGCACCATCAGAGCAGAAGGAGCTGGGGTGCCTGACACACACTCTTATTTTCCCGGGAGGTGCCTGGGCCAGAAACGTAACCCGTCATGCCGAGAATCACGATTGCTTGACCTGGGCTCTGTGAAGGATGTTTATTCCAGAGCAAATGGACTCGTGCAATCATTACTTGCAGGGGTGCAGAGCCTTGGCCCAGATCCAGCTGTGTGGGAGCCCTAACCTCCTGACCAGACTCTCAACCCACCCCACCCCACAGGGTTGTTGTGAGGATAAGAGTAGGAGGGGAATTATGTAAGCTGCCTTGAGTTTCTTGAAAGAAAAAAAGGCTGGATATTAATATAATAAATGCAATAAATAGAATAAAACCTGGCCTTCTGGGATTCCACAGAGGGCCACCTCCTACCACCAGCCAAGAATGAATGGTGTCCCTGCTTTTGTGCAGTTTAGCCCCATTCCAGAAATTGAAGTGACCGGCAATAAAGCCTGTAAGCTGACAGCCCACCCCCTTGTCCTCAGTACCTCCCTCCACTGGAATGCAGCCCCCACAGCTTGTCCGAAGCCCAGTCAGCTTTCAGGCAGGAGGAGGTACAGCACCACCTGGTTATTAGCAGCTCCTAACAGAATTTGGCTACTTGGTGCAATTGGGCTGGCTTTGATCTCTGGGCACCACCTGGTGCCCCATATTTGAGGGTGTAAGTCAGCTCTGTATTTAAAACTCAGACCAGAACTCCATGCAAGTGACTGAGCAAGCTGCTGGAAGAGGAATGGGTTGGCAGAAGGTGCTTTCATAGCCTGCTAATTTCATAGCCTGACCTATTAGTCTGCATTTCCATGCAGGCTGTGGAAAAAAGAGCTGCCTCTCATCTGCAGTCATGGAAATGCAAGCTGCAAATGTCTTGGGAAGTTAATAAAAGTATTTTGCAGACCAGTAATGTTTGTGGGCCTATTTACAAGGCTGAAATAAGTCCTTAGTAATTTAATGAGAAATAAAATGCAGACATTGACAAAGAAGCAAAAGGGAAGAATATTACATGGGTTTCACATCCTGCATGGGATAAAATTTGGAAAGCAGAACCCTTTGACATCTGTCAGAAGCACTTTGAAATAGCTTCTCCTTTGCTCTTTGCCCTTCACCAGCATACCAAACCCGTGGAGCATTCATAGCCCAACTTGACCTCACCTTCCATTCCAGGAAGAACGATTTCTTATTTCTTCACTGTTTTCACTGGGCTGCTATAAGAAGGCAGGGAATGTGGCTTGAGGTGGAGCAGAATAGTACATCTTGCCGCTTGAGATTAGTCCCTGCTTCTCCAGCCTGCCCCCTCCAGATGTGCCGGACCACTGTTCCCAGAATCCTAGTGATGGGAGAATGCCAGAAGTTATACTCCAACACATCTGAGGGATGTCAGCTTGGGCCAAGCTGATCTAGATGGAAAGGATGTGTTGTGTTTGCGACAAATGGTGTGGATGCAAGGTTGCCATGGTTGTTGCCCCAGCTGGACCGCTGATCTCAGTTTTGGGTGAAAATATACCCCTGAGGAACAGGCAGATCCCGGGGAGAGCACTGTAACCTTGTTTTCCCGTGCCTGGTCACCTGCAAATACCATAACTCATCATGAGCTTTTGGAATGAGGTGGAAATCAAAATAAAGATTCCAGTTTCCATTCCTCTTCACTGCCCAGTTGGGATTGCCTCCCTCACTGCCAAACCAGAACTGAGTTGACACGTTGATTTAAAACCCAACCTGATACCTCTTCTGTTTTTGTTTTAGCTGGTGGAGGTCATCATTTTCTGCCTGCTGCTATATTTCTACAAAGAGAGGAAAGCTAATTATATAGTGGTAATTCTGCTATTGGTAGCACTCTTGGGTAAGTTTGATGTATGTGCTTTATTACCATACAGTAAAGTTGCTAAATTTTTGAACCAGTGCTCTGTATGTGGGAGTGCTAAGGGTATAATGTGGCTTTGCGTGGCAGTTGGAAGATGAATGACCCATAGCTTGTTCTGGTGGCACTTTGAAGTCGTTTAACCCAAAGATTACCCCAAGTTCTTGGGTCTGGATGTCGCAATAGCAACCCTCACATTTGACATCCAGGGTTTATTACGGAAAGCAGGAAGCCAGTTCAGCATGACCTGCATCCCTGCAATTTGTGGGTTAACCCATAAAGTGCTGCCAAAATATGCTGTTGGGCCAAAATTTTCCTGTACCTATTAGGAGCTTCTAGGGATTGCACCTAAAGTGGTCTGCTTTTTCTTCTTGCACATAATCCAACATGCTCATGTAGTTCTCCATTTTTATCGTCACACAACCCTGTGAGATTGGTTAGGCTGAGAGTGAGTGACTGGCCCAAGTCACCCGAGGAGTTTTATGGGTGAGCGGGCATTAGAATCCAGACCTTGAGAGTCCCAGCCCAGCACTACATTTATTAAACTACAGAAGTAAAGCATGCTTTGCGACCTGCTTCAGAACCAAGGGGCAAATATCATTTTGGTATCATCCAAGTTTGTTTGTTTGTTTATTATTTCATTTATTAGATTTGTATCCCACTTTATTCTTACAACCCACTCAAAGCGGCTTACATCATTTTCCTCCTTCTGTTCTCAATCTCATCCACAGTTACCCATAGTTGCCACAGAAATTTTAGTCTTAATGTCTTTGCTTATTATAATTGGCTTGTGTTTGTTTGTTTTTTATTTTTATTTCTTATATTTATATCTTGCCTTTTTTCCTTCCAAAGCAATCAGGACTGCTTACACAATCTTCCACCCCTTCTCAATCTTACCCTCACAAAATGCTGTATGTATTATATTTTAATTTTATGTTGTGAGCTGCCCCGAGGCTTCGGCGAATGGGGCGGCATAGAAATGTTTTAATAAATAAATAAATAAATAAAAACAACCCTGTGAGGTAGGTTGGGCTGAGAGTCTGCAACTGGCCCGAAGTGTCCCAGCTGGCTCCATGGCCAAGCGGGGACTAGAACCCGGATCGCCTGAGTTCCAGTCTTGTGCTCTTAACCACTATACTGCACTGGCTCTGTTTTTAATAGCAGTGGAGAGTGGGGATCCCTGACCATAGCCCAGACCCGAACCGTATCTAGCCTGCCAGGTTAACCGCCACCCCTCTTGGCCATGTTCCTCTCTTGTCTCTTTTCCTGCTCCTTTCTTTTGCCCACAGAGGAAACAGTAGAGCGAGAAGGGAGGGAGAGCGTGAGGAGCAGGAGAGGTGCTTAGGGAAGCTGAGGCAGGGCATGGTACTCTGCCCCCTGCTTCTGGCTCGCACTGTGCCCACCTCTGGCTTACTGCCACAGATGTGGCCCTCTGGATGACAACAGTTCTCCAGCCAGGTGCTATAGGCAATGAATCGATGGGAAATATGCAGGAATAGTAGACGTACCTCATTATCAGTATTCAAAATATTTCTCTACTGCCCAGAATCAAAGCTCTAAGGGTAGTTTACAGTGGCCATAAACAATTCCAGTCTGGCTGCTCATGAGTTTGACTCCATTATGAAATACCAAAGATCGCACCACACTTGAAGGGATGGCCAGTCCTTAAGAACTTCCATCTCTATCAATATATTCATGTTAGCTTTGTTCCAGAGCCTTTATGTTTTCACCTTATTTTCCGTAAGGGGCTAGAGTTAATATCGGCAGCAACAGTACCGTTTGGTGTCCGCACTCGCCAGCTTTTAATGTGTCCTTTCCACAGAGGTTCAAGTGTAGCTTGACCGGGTACAAATTGTAGCAGCCAGACTAATACCGTGAACACTTGTTCCTGATCGTTCCCCCTGGTTCTGTTTTATCTATGCTGGCTTCCATTTCTTCTGGGAGCAATTCAAAGTGCCAGTTCTTACTTAATAAAACTCAGCCAAACGGTTTGGGAACAGAATATTTACAAGACCGCTGCCTGCTGTGTTTTCATGCTGCATTTGATAGCAACATATGCATCCCACCACTTTCTGAAGCCAGGTTGGTATGCAAGACGGAGCTTTTTCTGTTGTGGTGCCCAGGTTGCAGAACTTCCTCCCTGGAGAGGTGCACTTGAGCTCCTCTCCTTTAAGTTTCGCACAGGCTGCTTAGACCATTTTAATTCATCGAGCTTTTAAGATTAGTTTAACATTCAGTCTGCTGGTTTTAAACGGAATTGCTTTATTCCGCTGTTGATGTATGAAACCAGTTTTTGTCCTTGGAACTGTTTTTGCTCCATGCATCTGTATTATGGGCAGTTCGTGTTGACACGAACAATACTGCAAATTGCATTGTACTAGCAGAAGGCACTTGTAACAATAAACGATGCGAGGGAACATAAAGCTAAATTTCCAGCAGGCTGGAGGTCATAGTATAGTTTCTGTCTTACTGTATAATAATCAGCCTTGGCAAAACAATAGCAGAAGACAATTTAGCAGTGAAAGCCAGTGTGGAGTAGTGGTTAGCGTAATAGGCTGGGACTTGGGAAATCTTGGTTTTAGTTCTCACTTGACTATGAAGCTCAGTGATTTTGTCCAGTCAGCTTCACCTACCTCACAGTGCTGGTGTGAGGATAAAATGGAGACAAGAATTGTGTAAGCTACCTTGAGAGCTTCTTGCAGGAAAAAGGCAAGAAAAAAATTACTATTTTAAACATAATAAATGCATAAAATAGTTATTGCTAATATTGATTTGTACACTGCCCACTGCTATTTTTTGTAAGGCACCTTGTGAGTTTCTCGACAGGAAAATCATCCACATTGCTTGTTACCAATAGCTGTAAGCACCTGGAGGCTGGCCCCAAATACGAGAAATGCTGTTCCTATATAATCTGTAGCATGGCCGTCGCGCCTGGCCCTTCACTTCTGGCCCTGGAGGAGGAAGCGAGGAGGCACTTCTGCCCCTGAACTTGGCTCATTTTGTGCAGTGCCGGCCGTGGCTCAGTTGCTCACGACAACTAGCATTTTAACCACAGAGGTTTGTCGGCCTCAATGCTTGCAGGTTCCATGACAGTCATCACGGTGAAGGCGGTGGCAGGCATGATTGTGGTTTCAATCCGAGGGAACTTGCAGCTGGGCTACCCCATCTTCTACATCATGATGGTTTGCATGGTGGCGACAGCGGCTTTCCAGGCCACGTAAGTGGGTCAGAGCGCCTTCCCCCCACCCTTCCTTCCTTTTCCTGAAAAAAAACCCAAACAAAGGTACTGGCTTGCTTTGCACCGTGCCGGCCAGATGCGGCATGCAACGGAATGTCAGTGGAAATTTTTAATTAAGCTGTTAATCAAAAGGAATTCTGCATTATTCAAGCAACCTCAGGGCTTGGGTGGGAAGCCAGGCAATCCCTCTGTGTGTTGTTAGGGGCAGGTGAGTCTTTTAAGAGCTGTTTCCTGCTTAATAAAATGCTTTCTGGCATTTTGAAGGATGCACTGGAACAGCAGCCATTTTGCCCTCTAGCCCAGGAGGTCCCAGCAGCCCAAAACCCCTGTTGCCCATGGCTTTGTGGCTCCCTGTCATGCCAGCCAGGGGCCCTGTGGGAAGTTTGCCCACAGGGCATCAGTGTCAGATCCAGCTTTTGGAGGGCCCATGGGCAAGGCCCCTGAGTGGGCCCTCCCTCAGCCAGCCCGATGCCGCCATTGTCTTCTGCCTCTTTCTCCTCCCTGCTGCCACTGGCTCACCCGACAGGCAGAGACCCTGGAAGCAAGGCGGCAGCAGAGGGCAAGCGAAGAAGCAGGTGGCAACGGCAGAGAGGCGGACAGCTCCACTGAGCCCTTCTCAGTGGGCCCCTGGTAGGAGGCAAGCCTTCAGGAGGGGCGCAGCCGTGCCTGGTTTGGCTGGATCGTGTCCCTGCAGGACAGGAAACAGATGCCCTTTTGTTTCTCCCTAGAACCAGATCATCTCAGTGGGCTGCCTCTGGACGTGGAGGCTCAGTTTTTAGCTACTGCAGCTCATAGCCATTCAGATGTTAGGAACCTAGTAGGGCTGTAGGTTTTATCTGGCACTGTTGACACTGGCTTGTGGTGGTTCTCCAGGGGGCCAGGAAAGGCCTTTTCCAGGCCTAGCCGAGAACGGATGGTGTGGGGAATGCAAGGGCCAGCTATTCTTGGCATTTCAAGGTCAGGCAGATACAGATTCCTCAGATGACAAGAGACCCTGGCAACCAGAGTTCTCAGACACTGAAATGGGAGAAGTGTGTGTGGGGAGGTACCTCAAGGGCACCTTTCCCAGGTGTTCAGGCAAACATTGAGAACAGTCAGGTTTTACAACCGCAGTGACAGGGCATGGAAGAAGGGCTCCTGCTGCCAGCTGAGCCTGGCACTCCTCTTGCCCCATGATGCACCATTGGGAGAGATGTGCTCACCAACTGGAGGAGCGATGGACAGAAAAGAGGATTATTCATCTCCAAAAAGGACACCCCAGAGGGAGGACCACCAGGGGTGCTCAAAAGGAGGCTTCTCAGAAGTAGTCGCCGCACTGGGCTCAACAAACTGTTCTGTGCAAGCTCAGAGACTCATTCTTTTTTGAATTTACTGGAAATGCACTGGAGAATTCAGAGCTTTTGCCAAGGAACAGCCTGTGTTTTGGAAGTGTGACGTGGGGGCTGGGGGAGGGGAAAACCTGGTTCATGACAGATTGATCCACTCAAAGGAAAGCATATGTTTTACTCTCTGAGCCAAATCGCTCCTTGTTTGTCTTTTCAAGGAAAGACTGAAGTTTTAAGAGCACATGCTTCTGTGGGAGGTGCAATTATCTGGTTTGCATACTAATTTTAATAAATACTTTTTAAACCCATGGGTTGTTGTTTACCCAGGGTTTGTCTGACAGTTTCAACAAAAGACAGTTTGTTTTTCAATCCCTGAGTTGTTTCTTTCCCTGCCAATGTCACCATTTTCTTTCTGTATCCCACATGCATTTATGGAGTTATACTGGCATGTCGGGGTTTTTCATTTTATTTTTTGCCACTCCTGCCCTGATGCCTTTCTTGTTCTGTAGGCTTACAAAAGAACCTGTCAACATCCCATGGTTTGGGGTCAACATAAAGACAGTCCATGATTTGAACAACCCAGAATGAACAACCCAACCATAAATGAGGGATTCCTTTTTTTCTGGGTCAGTTATGGTTAACCATCTATAGTTTGTTAGCATGGCTGGATTTGCTTGCCAACCCAAAGTTCAGCAATCCATGGGCTTAATAAACCATAGAATAATGTCACGTGCAAACTAGGTCAGTGCATCTGGACACAGAGACTCCATTTTTAGCTCAAAAAGTCAGTGCAGGCTTTGCATCTTCCCAGGGAAGACAAATGCAAAGAATCCATGCAGTTTCCCTACAATCTCTTTATCTTCCTTCACCTTGTGTTATACTTAACTAGTTTCCTCCTTCTGATATATTTAAAGGGTTTTTTAATTGTGGGTCTGAATGTTTTTCATAGCATCTTCTTTTTTTGAACTGCTGTTTGTTCTTCATCATCATCATAGGTTTTTAACCCAAGCCTCGCAGCTATACGATGCATCCCAGATTGCCAGTGTGGGCTACATCTTGTCTACTGTGATAGCAATTACAGCAGGTAAAATAAATAGATTAAAATGATTTAAATAATAAATGGAGAACATCAACACATTCCTGTGGCCTGGAATGGGCTCTTTTTCCATCACATCTGAGTAGAAGAACCTGCAGTAGAAGAACCTGTATTTTTAATTCATGAAACTGACAGTATAAATGGCAGGAGCGTGTTGTTCCCATCTGTCATGTAAAGGCTTTGCTAATAAGATGAATACTTTTAAAATAGTGAGGTCCATGGTTTTTCTGCATAAGAAATCTCCTTTATTGGTTAAAAGAGAAGCTTGGAAGATTGTCTGCTTCACTATTCTCTGCAGAGAACAAGGAAAATGCATCACTTACCACTTCAGGGTCTGCATTCCCATCACAGCTCTGGAAGCGACCCCCTTCCCCCGCCGCCCCCATGGAAAAAATAACCAGAATGTGGTGGGCCATTGAGTGCAAATTCCAGCAGGTCTTAACTTGCGTTTGGGATCAGCGAAGGTTCCATTTTTACATGCCAGAGTTCAATCCTGAAAAGAGATTATCCACTTTATTGAATACATTCAGGATATTTTATAAAGAAACAGTAATTCCCAACAACGAAAACTCAAACATTATAAGGAACTAAAAAGCAAGCCCCCAAAGAGCTGACAGCCTAAAGATGCCGTCCTGTGCATGGTTTGATGAAAGGGGGGGGGGGTTGCAGATCTTTTATAGGCCTCTCTTCTTTCTGAGCATGCACTGGATTCTCCCCAACACTTCCAGGAGCAGAGAGTGCCAGTGCTGGCGAGGACTGGAGCTGGACTTCATTCTGGTTGGGAGGGAGGCCTGAGATGTGAAAGCAGTTAAAGCAAACTGCAGGGAAATTCTTTCAGGTCAGAGGACCAAAATTTCTAGATGAGCTTGAATCCCTGGATTTTTCTGCTTTGACGTTGTATACCTGGAGCAGAGTGATCTTTATATTCTGTCTCTTTTGACAGCTAGGTAGGTTCCAGGACTCCAGTCACAGAGAGGGGCGTTTGTGTGTGTGTGTGTATGTGCGTGTGCTGCCTTCATTTTTTTAAATAAGTGGATTTTGTACGCATGAAGGATGTAACACTTATTTTTCTTCTAACGTGTTGGGTGCAGTCCTGTGGCCTCCCAAAATTGGAGTTGGAAGTCAGAGGGCTGAGCCAGCACTCTGCCCCTTTGCAGCTGGTGCCGAAAGCAGCAGCCAGCTGTCCCTTGGGGATGCAGCTGGGCCTGGGAGAGAAGGAGATGAGATGCAGGTGGGAAAGGGAGAAGGCTGGGGCCAGTGGCTTCCACCGATTCCTGCTGGCACCCCGGCCTGCTTCCCTGCACAGCTCTTAACTGAGATGGCTGGACATGGCCGTCCAGACAAAACGCCTGGCACAGTGGCGGCAGGACACATCACTGCTGTGTCTCCTCTCTGTGCCTTTGGAGTAGGGAGCATGAAATGACACCCTTCATATTCTTTTGAGCTACTAAATTACGGTAAGAAGGGTGTTCACATGTATTGTCCTCATAGTTTCCTCTTCTTAACATTTAAAAACCATGCTATTATGCCAGTACAGTTTCCATAGCCCCTGCCTACCCTTTGGTAAGGAGAGTGCATTTGTAAAAACGAAAGGTTTCATTTTCATCTGCTTTTCCTCTGGGGTCAGGTGCGACTTTCTACTTGGACTTCACTGGGGAAGACGTACTCCATATTTGCATGTTTGGCTTAGGGTAAGCTGATTGTTTTTTATTGTATTTATTATAGAATTTATAAATCACTAGCTATTGAGAGTGGGATTCAGCAGATTAAAACAAAAAATACAAAAAATGACATAAAAGCAAATCTTGGATTTAGTCAGCAATCAGTTCTCTGAAATGTGATAAACATTTCTGTTGCTTTTCACAGATAAAAAGCATGGTTAAGACTCTGGCTTCTTTTCCATTTTGCCTAAGTGTCTTTCTTTCCTAAAAAAGATGTGTAATCTTTCTATCTGTATTCATGAACTTGAAAGAGTATTGGAAATGCCTAGTGCCAGCAAGAAAGTCTTAGGAGAAGTTATGTCGTGTAGTAATCGACCTTTACAACCACCCTTTGGAAAGGGGAGAGAACTTTGCAAATGCCAGGAACCTTCAACCGAAAAGCAGGTGGGGCTGTCTAAGGAACCCCAGTCGGCCAGACTGGGACCCTAAGCTCAGGTTTGCTGCCCCGTCCTAGGAAGTGGGGCTTTAGCCTTGTTGGCTATATTTTATTTTAGTGCCATCTACAAACAGTACCTGCGCAGTGGGATTCTTTTGTCACTGTAATAAACTCACTTGTGGATGCATCTGGAACTCTTCACAATATGCCTCTGCCTTATGAACTGATTGGTGTGCAGGAAAACAAAGCTTTCTTCATACTTTTTAGAAAGAATCTTGAAAGCAAATGAGTTGCTCTCTGTGAGGTCAAGTGGTTAAGTTTCTTAGCTGGCACCCACTTCCTCTCTTCCTTCCGTTGTTTCATAAACCCATTTTTTATTTTCTTCACATAAACAAAATACAATAAAAGAAAATTATATGTAAAATAAAGTAAAATAAAATAAAGTTGCCAAGGGATTTTAGACAAGTACAACCAGTACATACAAACCCACAAATTTATCTACCTTTCTGTCACTCGGCACTCTATGGAGTTCAGAAAAAAAAAGTTACTATTCTGTACACCGACAAATTTTCCAATCGCTTTAAGTCAATTATAGATCCTCAACAACGTTTAAAAGAACTCCTTTTTACATTTCATTAATTATACTGAGTACAATAGATTTCCATTTGTCATTAAATTCTTCAACCAGTCTTCTATTTACATAATTAGTTAATTTTGCCATCACTGTGTATTCTGCCAGCTTATTTTTCCATTCTTCAATTGTTGGGGATTCTAATGATTTCCATTTAGAATCAATTGTAATTCCTGCTGCAGTTGCCATATATTTAAATAATGATGACATATTCTTTGAAAAAGTCTCTGGCATTATATTCAAAATCATATTCTTAGAATGACTTAGTTTTAAAGGTTTTTTTGTATTTCTGCATGTATCAATTGCCTTATCTATTTTTATAGATAAAAATATCTAGTTCTTATCTATTTTTTTCGATATCTTTTGGCATAAAATACCACCAATAAAAAATCTTATACCAATTTTCTCTTAGTACTTGGCTAATTGTGAATTTAATGTCTTTCTTCCATAAAGCTTCCCATTGGCAAGGTGATATTTCTTCTCCAAGATTTTGCTTCCAAATTGTCCTACATTTCTTGTTGATTTTCAGTGTCATTCTGTAGTAACTGTTTGTAAAGTATTCCTAATAGATGATCATTCTGTTGTATAATCAACTTTTCAAAATCTGTCAAATCTCTTTAAGTCACAAACCCATTTTTATTCCCCTCTCTCTCTTTCTGTTTTTGTTTTAGATGCCTCATTGCATTTTTAGGTGTCTTCTTGATCACTAGAAACAAGAGGAAATCGATCTTTTTCGAACCTTATATTTCCATGGATGCAATGCCAAGTAATACTCAAATCTTTTTCTTAACAAGCCAAGTGAAACAGTTCTCAGCATGTCAGCACAGACACCCGTGGTGCTCTAAGTACTGTATGGAGCAAGCCCAGTTGTTGAAATGGCTGAACCAAACTCAGCTTTCCAGCCCTGGGGAGGGCATGTGGAACACTTGCCTGTATAATGTTTATCTAGGTTGAAATATCCTCCCTCTTGTGTGTGCATGTACACATGTGCTCAAACACATGGACTCACACAAACACACAGAATGTGGAAGGATATCTCTAGATATTACATAATATCCCGCATATAATTCTGCCCAGCACAATCACACACATGAGTGCACACGCTACAGTTACTGCTTCATTCCAGCATTCTTCCAGTCACATCTGATTCCTGGGGTTTTGTGGAAGGAGATAAGGGAACATTCAGAAAGGGGCGGCCTGTTCTGGGGCAGTTGTATTTATGACATTATGTATCCCACCTTTCCTCTGTAGGCTCCAAGCTGACATATTTGGTTCTCTCCCATTTTACCTCCACAACAACCTTGCAAGGTGGGCTTAAGCTGATTGAGAGAAACGAACCCAAACTCAGCAAGTGACCTCCAGGGCTGAGTGGGGATTTGAATCTGGGCCTCCACTCGTCTGGGGCACTTAAGTATACCAGCTGCCTCCAGAAAGAGAGGGAGGACATCTCTCCTTCTAATGGGTGTGTTCTTGATGGTAGCTGCCCATCTGGACTATACAGGGGTTGCCTGGGAAGATTACTCATTGTGGGATTTACCACTGATTATTGATGATAATATAGTAATATTCTGTCATAAGGAAATTGCTTGCTAAGATGGTGCCTATTCATCACATGTTTTCTTCTTTAAGAAAATTTTACAAGACTTTGACAGCAGCAACTGTAACTGCCCAATCCATGTGTGTTTGCAGTAAAATGTCTATCTTGTTACAACAATCACAGGCAGAGAAATATAATAAAGATACTTTTAGAGAGAATGGCCCTCTCTTTGGACTACTAGAATCTGTAGGAGCTGATGTGGGGATCTGGAAGGCCACTGTTTCCTCACTGCAAGAGAGCTAGAGCATTTATTTATTTCTATACTGCCCAATCTCCTCTGGGCAGCGCACAAGAATCTGTTGCAGAGCATAGTGGTAAGGTTGCACATACAGAAGATCCCAGCTTTATCCCTGACAACTTCCTAAAAAGGATCTTGATTGGTCTTGAAGGAGCTCATGCCTGAGACCCTGGACAGCTGCTGCCATTAGCAATAGGCAGTACCACTCTGAGTGCAGATGCTTCTAGGTGGAGAACTGCCAGAGCTAGTAAGCATTGTGCTATTATCCCTCCTTTTTCTTCCTTAATGGATTTTCTGCAGGAAGAAAAAAAGACATGGGGCGGGGGAATATGAAAGAGCTACAAGTGCAAGATGACAGTTTCTTGGTACCCACCTGTAAAATTACATGAATGATTCAAGACACTGGGGGGATAAAAGCCATATCTGGAGCACCCACTGAGCTGGTCTGCACATCATGACAACCCATGATTGGGTAATTTACTGCAGGAGCTGCTGCATTATGCCAGGTGCCTGCAGGGGCCCGGGTTGACGTGGCTTGTTGTGCCAGTAGGGATTGTTTGAGGGTTGGACAACCCTCAAGTAACCCTAAACAAGGTTATTTGAGGGTTATCTCACCCTAAGCCCCTGTCCCCAAGGTGTGCGTGACATAAGAAACCCCAGACCAAGGGAAACCATGCAGAAATGGCTCCCACATGCACTGTCTGCACAGGTAAATTCAGCTGTTACAGGTTGTCATGTCACATGAACCAGATCTGTATAAAGCAGATACATGTGATGAGTGGAAAGAGAAGCAATTTAATTGTAACCTTCCCCCCAACACACACACACACACACACACTTCACTGAATCTTGACTTTGTCTTTTCCTTGTCTGCAGGCATGCAGAATTTGCACGACAATGGAACCGCAGTTCAGCCTGACCTTAAAACGTCCTTTTCTTATGGTGCCCTGGAGAGCAACGACAGCATCTCCGACATCTATGCTCCGGCTACGTTAACAATTGTCCAGGAGGACCATGGTTCAAAGGCAGCACCTATGCCTCCCTACAGGGTCATCGAGCATAGCAAGAGAGAGTGAATGCACGTCCAGGTGCTCGTGCAGCATCGCCAGACTTTGATCATCTTATTTATTTATCATTCTTTCCATTTGTTGCACTAAGACAAGAAGTCAACTCAAATAGGGATTAAACCAATATCGAATGATAACTTTAACAGCTGGACTGGGTTAATAAGGGTTTTATACTTGTATATTTGTATACAGGATCTTCACTCAAGCTGAATCATACCAAGTCGCTACATCAGGAAATGCAGAGGGCATTACATGGGCTATAATATTGCTGACCAAACAGCAAGCTATGAAAGGATGAGTTTAGACTTTGTTATCTGAATAAAACACCCTCTTTAGGACCAGTTAATTTGTGGCACCAGGATGTACTTGTAGAGTTCTAGATTTTGGTCTACAAATCCTATGATTCTGCACCATTAGCTAAGGCAGATGGGAAATGTAGACCTAAACTACTAAAGGAATCAGAGTTGCCCAACCTTGGTGTATGGAGAACTCTAGGTTCAGGCTTCCCTTTCACCACATTGAACCATTTAATTTGAGCAGAGCTTTCCCAGTAAACTTCTGTTTCAGTAGACAGATGGTGTGCTTGCCCCTTAATAGCACAGAAGAGAACTTGCAAAGTGCTGAGATTTGAAGATATTGGATAAGGCTGAAACTATTCCTGCTTTCACCATTTATCCCATAGGACAGCAGTTTAAACCTCTGCTAAAAATACATTATTTCCACGTCCTATAGTAGCCATCACGACTGCAGGACTTCCTGCATTTCCTTCCTTGAACAGGATAGCTTGATTATGCAGCATTTCCCAAGTCTCAGTCAGACTCATATCTGGCACAGATAGATGCTGTTCCAAAACATTTATCTGTACCAAAGAAACAAAATCTAGTAACGCTTTCTATGAGATTTTCAGTTGGCCTTTCCCAAACCCACATTCTTTGTTGTCTTGCACATCACAGCCCTCATCACAGCCAGCCAGTGAAGGATTCATGCAATCCGGTGCTTCAGTAATGTTTGTGACATATTCTGCTTCCTACATGCATGGGATACATTCTTTTCCTACAGAAGTCAGCTTTTGCCAGATTGGGGGAAGAGTGAAAAATTAATCTCAAGCGAGACCCATGGTTCCGGCTGTCTATGTCAAAAACTTTCCAAACGGCTCGGCAATCCAGCTAATGAATCAGATCCAACACTTTATGACTCGAGGCTCTCTTGATAGTTCTGCATTTATTTTGATATTCCAGGCTGCACCGTTAGGTTATACTCTTAAAAATCCCGAAGATGTTAGGAGTTCCATCTTTGAGATGTATATGTTGTTTTCCATAGATGTTGTCATCGATGTTTGCACTTTAAATGCCCTTTCTGTATATACATAAGTTTTCCCTACCACTGCCGCCTCCATCCATGTGTATCCGGCCTCGTCTGTGCATTCAGCAGAATCGGATGGTGTAGCAGCTTCTCCCGCTTGGATCCCTCCAGATGTGCGGAACCACAGCTCCTGTTATTACCCAAACCACTTTGGACCATCTCCGGAAGGTGCCAAGTTGGAAAAGACTATGGTGTAACATGGATGGTATCCTTTTATGTTGCTGGATGGGAATTGCATTTAAATTTCCCACAAGTCCTACAAATACCACAAAAGAAAATAAGCTGAGATAGATGTGTTCTCTTTGATTTGCTGGTCTGTGTCATTTGTTTGTTTAGATTTTTGTTTTTAATTCGCAGGGAATATTTGCATCAAATTATATTAACCCACACACACACACACACACACACATCCAGTCTGAATTAGTATTGTCCATTCTATTACTGCATTACACTGTATGCATAAGCAAAGTCTAAGCATTTTCACCAAGAAATTAAGGCGCAATCCTATGCATGTTTAGACACCCAAAAGTTTGGCTGGAATTTGGTATCCAGGGAACCATTGTAACCTGCAACATAAGAAAACAAGGTTTATGTGGGTCTAATTCTGTCAAGAAATCTGGATCAGAATCTTTCTGCTATTAGATCAACAAGAGGGTTGAAAAGTGGGATCAAAATCTACTTAAAACTAACCCTTACTGTTGTAGCGCACACAACTTTTATTGTTGAACAGAAAAAGGATCTACAACTCCCAGCATGGCTGATTGGGAATGCTGGGAGTTGTGGAATTTTTTTTCTATACATTATTAAAACTATTTCTGCACATTTGGAGTGCAAACATTAAAAAATACGGCAAACCATCGACAGCTCTTTCGGTGCATCATGGATCAGTGGCTGTCCAAATGGACAATACAGAGAGCCATCTTTGGGTAAAGAAATGTACAAAAAAGTGTACAAGAGAAAGCAGCAGCAAGCTAGCATGGCTTTGGATGGTGGCAGAGGAAGGCAACTTGAGCTGCTAGGTCCCCTGAGGTGTTGCCTGGTGGTCTGCAGGGAAAGGAGTGATGGCCACCCAGAGGGGGTGTGATTGTTTGTCAGACACACTGCATCATTCTCACACCAGCCCACCCACCACGAATGATTGGCAGAGTGGGTTGGTATCTAAGGGAGCGCTTTGACTTCACGGCCGTGTGTTTCCTTTGCTAATGCCAGAAGGCCGCTTTTGAGAATGGTGTTGTCTTGTCTAAGGGAATGCACTGCGGGGAAACGAGTGTGTTAGATGTGAGTCGGGAACCAGAAGCGCCTGGATGTTCCTCGGCAACTCGAAGGATGCTGGTTGTTTTCTGCTTTGTTGTTTTACATTTGTTGCCTATCAGGCTGTTAATACATTTGCTTTTAATCAATTTGAAAGGAAATATTGTCCCATAAAAATAGGGTTGCCAACAGTTAGGGCTGTTAACCTCTATACAGTTGACTTAAACTTCCAATTACTTTAACTCAAAGAAACAAAAATCAGATCTTTATCCGTGACGTACTTTGCATTCAAAACCCTCTTTTGCCACAGCGCACTGTGTACTTTTGGCAGGGTTACATTATTATTAGGCTAATACTTCCGGGACTTGTATTTTCTTAAGTAACTTGTAAATGTTGACCTGGTGCAATTGTCTTGGGGAAACCCCCACCAAGTCCATTTTATTCATTTGAGAAATAATGTAAAGCGTTTTGTTCATTAAAGAGCTAAGTCATAGATGTGGGCATGTGTGGGAAGCATGGAACTTTACATCTTGTTTTTGCCTTTCGATAAGTAATGCACAGCCCTCAGGGCTGCATAAACTCAAGATGGGAGTGGGGTTCTCATCCAGCCACAGAATACTGCACCTCAGTTGTTTGTCGTTGGGCTTCAGTCCCCAAGGGACCAAATACGACCCTCTTGTGTTGAGTGATGCCGCTTCTTGCTTTCTTTGCTTTCGATGGTTCTTAAGTGGTATTTATTGAGTGCCATTTTTTGGTTGAAAGGCCAGGTCCAAATTAAATATAAAATAGGAAAAATTCAGCTGACTATAGTTTGTACCCTCTTTTTTGTATGAACTCTGGACAGATAGCATGGAGTCATTACTACAGGAACATCTGCATTATTTAGCCTCGTGGTGGCCTAGTTTTATACCTTTGGGTCAAAGGCAGGCATGTCAGGGGAGGTCAGTGGTTAAGGACAGTCTCTTGTACCTGTTTAGACTGAAGCCGGCTGGAACATGCTGTGAGTTACAGAATTTTGTTCCTTATAGGATTGTGCCGTAAGAGTGATTCCAGGCAAAGAAGACCGGTAGTTCCTCAAAATCAAAATGTGTTGTGCAAATGTTCCTTCTTAGCTAATTTTGTTCTGGTAAGAAAAGAGGTGGAACACACAGGATGAAAACAGGATGGTTACAAGCGACAGAGTGTCTGGATCCTGTGCACAGCTGTGCTTTTGAGGGCAATTGCAGGATTAAAGTCTCCTCTGAAAGGGTCATCTCTCTCTCTCTCTCTGGGTCTTTAAAGAGGCCAAAGTGGGAGTGGGGGGAGGTCCTGTTTTATTAAAGATGCAAAAGCAGGTGTGTGTGTGATCTTTTCAGCCTGTCAACGTTGGGAAAAGTAACTGTGGGTCTCCTCTGTTCTGGCCTATTCTCTTCCATTTCCATTCTGTTCCATTTGTATTCTCTTCCGTTTGTTGGCTGTTCAGGTGTCTGGCTTGACCTTCCAAAGCAAAGCAAAGCAGTTTGCAGGGACAGTGTCAACACTGGCTTTTGGGAGTGTCTTTGGGAAGGTGTGGCTTGTGAGAATTTTTAAAAATTTCCCAGGATGGTTGTTAAAATCCGAGAATAACTTTGTTGTAGGGAATATTCATAACAGATGGTTAAGGGGATTTCCTACAGCTGTTCCATTAGACATGCCTCCTAAATGTTTTGTTGACTTTTCTTTCCCCCTTTGAATCAGTAAACGCTGTTCGTGGAAAGAAATGTTCCTTGTCATGGAGGCTTTTCAGGCTGTGTGGTGCTATGTCAGCGTAGCAAGACACCTAATGTCATTCTGAAAGAATTACTGCATAAGCAGCAAATACCTTTTGTGCAGTGTCCTTGGACATCAGCACAGGAGTGAGCTGTGCTGTGGGCTGAAGTGCTCTCAGATTCCTGGGAGAGATGGTGCTGTCTTTTCGGTGGCCTCTTCCAGTGCTTTGGAATGGTGACATTCCAGCATAATCAAATACAGGAGCAATGTGGTACCTACATGCTATCTCTGTTTTCATCAGCATCTCAGTCTGGTCACCTTCTCAGGGCTGCCCGTTGTTTCCTTATCTTGGTTAGTGCATGCTCTTTCTTTGCAGCTTTGGATGACAGGGCAGGGTGAACCCTGGCTGCATGTTGCCGGATTCCTTCTCCAGCCCTGCTCTGGCATCCTCTGTAGAGCTTGGTGACTCTTCCCTGACCATCCAGACTCCCAACAGGGTCTACTCTGTAAGAGCATATGAGTTCATAAGAATTGCTTTGCAGAGGAAGAGAACTGGGTTGCCGGGGCTCTGAGAAATCACCTTTTTCTGAGCATTGAGTCGCTTAGGGATCTTTAAGCCCTTTCTGCGGGGATGGCTGACTACTCTTTCACCAATTTCTGTTTTCAGGATTATGGCTGATTGTATAGTTCTGCATCATTTAATTCTATACTGCCAGATTGGATGTTGACTGAATGTAATGTTTGAATGTCTTCACAATAGTATGTGTAAATAAATTGAGCTTATTGATACACTCAACAACGGATGGTGGCATATTTTGTTCAGTGAAAATGTTGCACCTAGCGGGTGAGCAATTAAATTGGATGCGAATGAATTAGAGCCAGTCTGACAGTTTAGTTGGAGCTTCATGAGACCTCAGTAGAGCAATAATACGAATGTGACCTGTATGGCATGCAGAACTGTGGCATTTGTTGGAACCTTGAATAAGGTGCTCGCAGAAGGAGCAGGGGACATTTGTGGCCCAAGAGGCAGATTGCTACCCAGGGAACCTCCTGGGAATCATGCACAGCACTGGGTATGCCTCACCTCAGTTCACACAAATGTGCATGTGTCATTTATGCCAAGGGTGGAAACCCTTTCCTGGGACAACCATGCCCCTTTCTATGACCCTACCTGTGCACTTGCACATTCTTAAAGGTTGAAATGTCTTCCCCAAGACTCAGTTACACTTGCAACTAAAATATACTGGTATTTTTGTCTCCACATCCTTGGCTTCACTCCCACCTGCCACAGGAATGCAGTCCCTAGAAGCATCTCTGAATTTGAGTTTGCCCCTCAGCCTGAAAGAGAGAATTTGCCTCCCACTTACCCTATCTAAATTCTCATACCATGCCGATCAGGTTGGGGTAATCTTCCCTGCTGAGTAATGAGTGGGTGAAAGCTCTTATCTCTCAGCAGCCCCTAATTTATATAGGTGATTCCAGGTAGGGCTGAACCCAAGCAGAGGGGACAAGTGCACCCAGAATTGGGACTCGGGGCCCCTACCCTAGGCTGCAAACCCATTACCATAGGGAGGAAAAAAGAGAAGGTAAATTGTAGGTCATGCTAGAGACTTCTGTAAGCTTATTTTCTTGTATCCATATGGGTGTCCACATTCCTCAGGAGCTGGTGACTCTGGCTAGGGTGAAGTGGCAGCAGTGGGCTGCTGATGCAGCCCTTCTTTAGAACACACACAGACGGAGAATCAAAAGTCATGCAGGAAAGACCTAGTAGTATGCTAGGAGCTGGTCTGAAAATTATGCTAAATAATACTTTAGTCTCACCTGCATGAACCACAGGCTTGCATCCTCCCCTTCTGATGTTGTGCATGGAGACAAGAAGCATCCGTTTCTGCTTTTAACTTGTGGGAACTATGATCAATTTTTAAACATAGATAGGATCATAAATTACAGTTTGTTCCTGGCTTGTTTGGTCATTGTTTAAACACATTCTCCCTGAGTTCAGATGGAATGGGAAACTGTAGCTGCTTTAAAAACAGGAGTTATCTCTTGTGGCTGCAGCAGAGGGTAAAACAGGTCCAATGCAAGAGCCCAAAACTTGTGGTCTCTGCATGGAATGCTAAATGATGTTTCAGCATTATGCCTGAAAAGGCCCAGAGAGATGTTTTCTACCCTGTGGTACATGCTCTCTCAAGAACTTTAGTATTTGCGGGTATTTCTTGTGTACAGAAGGGAGGACCAACATGGGGGATCTGACCATCAGCATGAGGGAAGGGTAAGCATCATGATATTTCTGTACACTGAAATCTTATGGGCACTTGAAATTAGTG